AACCATCAAAGTCCTTTTAGCCGAATAAAAACATATGAAATAAATTTCATTAAATTAGAATTTTTTCCCATAACCACAAAATAAAAAAAGAAAGATCTTCTAGCAAATGGGAGGACCTACAGCTTATTTTAAGTCGCCTCCGAGCGGCTGATGATTTTTTGTGAGGAGCCTTTATTTCGAAGTGGTTGACATTCCCTGTCAAGGGCCAACGCAGTTTATATTACTTTTCTATAACTTTTGGTTGTTGGTCGAACCAGGACTCGAACATTGGCCTTCCGAATGACAGTACGCAATGCCAGAAACTCAGCTATTGCGGTTTATCTATTTCGAATGAATAAATAAATAAAAAAGTTTGATGCAAAACTTGATTCTTTGGCTCATTTTAATTTATTTTAGTACGAGGTAAATGTAAAGGGTGTTTCAATCAGAGGTGTTATTTTGTTATTCAAAGAGACGTGCTCCTTAAAAGATCGATGGTTTCATTGCTTGTGTGGCACGTAGCGGCGTCTTGTTGAAAGTAAACGTTGTCCAGATCCATACCATCCAATTCCGGCAAAAAAAAAATCATCACGATATCGCAATCCATTCACTGCAACTGTTGCTCCATCCTCATTTTCGAGTCCGCTGGACCATACCTCAAACAGTTACACGTTTAGGAGGAAGTGGCTTTTCAACAATAAATGTCGGGTTTTCCGAGTTCCAGATGCGACAGTATTGCTTTTTGACGTCGCCATCGAGGTGGAAATGGGCTTCATCAGTCAAGCTGCTTTTTTCGAGTAAATTCCGGATCACGACACGACGTTGTTGATGATCGGCCGGCTTAATTTTTTGTGTTAACTCAACTTTTGAAGCCTTAAGATTCCAGTATTTTACGGTGTAATGACTTTTGTGGTATTGTCAATTCCAAAGAACAACGAGGTATGGACAAACCTGTGTTATCTTCAACACTTTGGGCTACAGCAGCAAAATTCTCTGCTTTTCTAGATCCATGTTCACGTGTTTTATTCTTCACATCACAAATTTGTTTCTCAACAGCTCCAAATTTTTCTCACCAAAGTCTGTATTGTGGTTTGACAATGTCATTCGCGACGGGTGAATCGCTCCATTTTCATTGTTGGTGTTTTTACTTGTCAAATGTCAAAAAATTACGTCTACAAAAGTGACATCAATCGGAATAACAGGCTAATCAAACCAACGCCTCATATTGGAAAGTTCGGGACCGATCAATTGGTCGTCTAGATCGTGTGATTTAATGTCTTCACACTATTTTTTGTGAGGTTATGTAAAATCTGATGTCTATACAGACAAGCCTGTTTCGGTTGAATCATTGGAGGACAACATTAAAGCATTTAAGCGTGAGATACCGGCCAAAATCTTGAAAAGAGTATGCCAAAATTGGACTAAGTGGATGGGTCCATTTGAGGCGCAGTCACGGTCAACATTTCCTTGAAATAATCCTCAAACATTAAATATATAGACCGTTCTATCGATTAAAATAAAGATTTCATGAATTTTTCTGAATCTTATGGGTTTTTTTTTTGAAAAACTTTCCTATAGCTCTTAAAAAATCACCCTTTACATCCATACATACCTAGTAGTAAATTGCGGCGCAGATTAATTTGGTACAATAATATAAAGTAGTAATTCATAATGCGAAGTCTCTGCGGTCGCGGCTAGCATCGCTTTCGTTTTCGATAATTTTTTCTCAGAATGAAAACTTGTCGAAACTAAAGAATTTACTCTTTAATTAAATGGAATGTAAAACTTTGGTTTTACTTTGAAAATTGATGCGTTTTAGTATTCGGTTGCGGCACAACAGCGAAGCAGGCTGCAAAAATGACTTAATTAAATAATGATGAAAATAATAACGAAAATCGGCTCCTTAATGCAGAGATACAAAATATTTTAGATATAAAAAAATATGTGCGAATTTTTTGAAACGGAGTTTTTAGTGAAATATCAATATGAAGACATTGAAAATGTTGAAATTGGTGAAGTTTTATGTAAAGTTCCACCATTAGTAGTGCAAAAATGTATCACAATGGGGAATGAAAGAGACCAATATATATATATATATATATATATCAGAAATAATTTCAAAAAGTTGTTTCAGGTTTTGGGAAAACGGAATATCAACGTTTCATTATCTGCGGAAACCATTGTTAAAAGATATCTATATATCTATTTTATATTTATAATTATATTAATTATAATAATTTTTGAAGAATAAATAAAATATTTTGCATTTTTAATTTATATGTTTTAATTTGGTTTTGCTTACTTTAGGACTTTAGTAGGAAAAAGAAATGTAAGTTACACATTTTACAACTTTGATGGTAATGCACTAAAGCATCAAGCTGTACACAATTGCAATTAAAAACGCAACGGTAAGTTGCGCTGTTGAAAATTTGACTTGCAAAAACTAATGATGTGGTGCATTGTCTTGGGGATCTCTTCGTTAGAAAATGGCAGTGAAGTGGTATGAATTAATTTTCAAAAACAAATGCAAAATGTAATCGCTGCTGGAGATGTAATGTAACTTACCACTTCATTGGAAAGCCATTAGCTTTCGCTACTGGATATAAGTATAAGTACATATATACATTCTCTTTTATATATGTATTGTACCTAAAGAGATTACTATGCGCTTTATAACCGCTGAATCGAGGGAATCAATCATGCCTAGAACAGGCACGGTACAAATTTGCTTTCCTGAAAAATCTAGAGAATACGTGTGTACCAAAAATAACCGAATTTTTTGGATAGAAAATAAAATACATATTATATTATTTTTAAAAGTTATTATTTATTCAAAATAGGTTCCATTTGACTCAACACAACGTTTGGAACGATCGACCAGCGCATGCATAGATTTTTTTATGTCATTTATAGAAATGTTCTTCAGTACCTCGGTTACGGCTGCTTGAATGGCTGGGATATCAACATAAAATGCTCCCTTCATCTTGGTTTTCTGTTTTGGAAATAAAAAATAGTCACATGGTGATAGATCAGGCGAATACGGAGGATTGTAGATGAGAGAAATGCCTTTTTTCATTAAAAATTCGAGCGATTTTTTGGTCGTCATTTAATTCATGTGAAACAAATTGCGCACAGACCTTTCTTTTCCCCAAATCTTCAGTTAAAATTCTCCATATAGTGTTTTTACTCGTATTCAATTCCTCAGCCAACATTCTCGTAGTAAAATTTGCATCGATACCAATGATATCATGGACTTTTTCCGTCAGTTCAGCACGATTACTAGTTTATGGACGTCCTACTCTAGAGTCGTCATTTAAATCCTCACGATCATTTTTAAATCGTGTAAACCACGTATAAACTTGCGTACGACTCATACAATCATCACAATAAACTTTTTTCATTAATTTTTTTTTTTTCAAGTTTGACACAAAATGTTATATTTGCTCTTGGTTCTATTTTATTTTTGAACCATTAGCACACTTTTGGTTTTATTGAACTGGCTGTCACTTTTACATCTGTCATCCAACTTACATCATGTTAGGTGCGTTTGAAAGAGGATGAATGTATCTTTTTAATGTTGCAAATTTTCAATAGATAGCGCTGTATGTTGTATGATTTGAATATAAAGTTCGGTTATTTTTAGGACACACCGTGTATGTATCGAAATAATTAATCATGCCTAGAACAGGCACGGTACAAAGTTACTTTCCTGAAAAATCGAGAGAATATTTTAATTTCAGCAAATTTCATATCTCTACTAAAAAAGTTAAGAATCGATTAAGAAGTAAAGAAGACATGTTGTTTTGCATTTTATCAAAAATACCATAATTTATTTAATTTTTTTTTTAGTTTAGAAAACAAAATAAAATCATTATATACACGTACATACATACATATAGAAGAATTGACATTTTTTTTTTTTTCAAATAAGAAACAAGTAATTCAGAATTATGCTTTTTATCATAAACTAATTGACTATAAACAACCGTTGCTAACAATTTATGTTAGAAAAAGTACAATAATTAAATCATTTTACGTATGTACATACAAATATTTGGTATACACTGGAATAGTGTGCCTCCAGGTTATTTAAGTAGAAGAAAAACAAACATTAACATTTAGTAAAAATTGCTGTAATTGTGAAATTAGTAAAGCCTATTATTAAATTAAACATGTTCATTTCTCGATTTTAAACTTCTTCTGTTTTCACCAGCCTCTTTTCTAATACACAAACGCTCCATGTACTTATGTAAGTGGTAAGCCTGCTTTTCCAAAATTTTATAATTTATATTTGTTAATTTTATGCATAAAATGCTCTAAGGTTAATTTGTTAAACAATATTAGCCGCCGTTCGAGGCACAATCTTCCAAAAAAGTAAACACCCTATTGCTGGGCGAGTAATATTGAAATTATAAATTTAACGTTACTTAAAAAAGTATTACAATTATTTTCAATGCTTTTGGCTTAATTTTTTTTTTTACAATTTCATTATTAACTAAGCATTTCTATTGCATTTCTTTCCTTTGTTCTTATAATTTTTCTTGATTTGAAATGCGCTAGAATAATCATATTACATATATTTGGCAACATCCAAAAATTCCACAGTTTAACTTGCTTTGCATTCATTTTCAAATAAATTTATCTATTTTAAATTTCATCATTAGTCTTCGTTGATATTTGTACCGTTTGCTCGCTCCACTACTGCCTCCTATGCAACAGATTCGTAAAGCAGTTCGTTATTGTTGTGCGACGGGTGTGGCATTCGTGTTTTCGGTCGAACCGCCACCATTGGCACTACTATTCAACTCGTCCGCTGAGAGAAAAACGATAGCAGCCGAATTAATACAATAACGTTTACGCGTGGGCTTGGGTCCATCCTCGAAGACATGCCCCATATGAGCATTGCAGCGGGCGCAGCGTACCTCTGTGCGTATACGTTCTGGATGTTTAATTAGTAGCAAAATATTACCCCCTTTTTAATTGATTTGTTTTGCACAAGTGGATTATATGCATTTATAATATTATATAAATATGTATATAAGACATTTTATTTTTTTTTTGTTTGTTTTTTTTTTTTTGGAAATTATATTGGATATTTTGGTGATGGGCAGGTAGAAGATACATATACAAGATATTATTTAGCACAAATTCCATAAGGGAGATGTGTTTCAAGGTGTTTCAATTGCAATTTACAGTTTTTATTTTCAATTAAATTTGTCATTAGTTGGGTGGCAAATTAGCGTACAAGGTACATACATAGTTTATAGATGATAGGAATATAACGGTAGATAAAATAAATAAATATAAAATAAAAAATAATAATAATACAAAAAATATTTTAAAAAAATAAATAATAAAATTAAAATAAGTATTGAATAAGGTTTTTTTTTTTTTTTTTTTTGAAACGTAAACAGACAAAAATCATACGGAAAAAACAGAAGAACAGAAGAGCAAAAGGTGAAATGCATACGTGAGGCATGAGCCATGAGAGTGAAAGTCGAGAGAAAATGAGTCGAGTCGAGTCGATTCAAATGAAAAGAGGAACAACGAAGCAATGAGAGTGGAATGTAGAGTAAGTAGTAGAATTAAAGCAAAAACCAAATATAGCAAATGATTAAAAATCAAAAATGTAATTGAAAGAGTGCAGCAGAATATTTTTGGTGAAAATTTGAAAGTTAAATTCCACAACAATATTTATGCGTTGCGAAAACAATATGAAAGTTTAGTATTTTATAAATATATATATTTATGTATATATATTGCAAATGGCATTTTAATTACAGTTAATTATAAGTTACATGATGAAAATCCATAAGCGTTGATTGGTATTGTTGTTTGATATGAATATGAAGTGAAGTGAAATTAACAAAAATATCACAACGTTTAATGATATTAAATTAACATCAGATGCAAATATGTTTATATTAAATAATTTTTATATGATTTAACAGATTTTAATATTGCGTTATTTATATATGTCGTTATGAGTGTAAAATTGAGACCCCCGTACAGGCACATGTATAAAAAGCGAAAAAGGGAGAAATAGAAAAAATATATAAAAAAATTCATTATTTTCAATGACATAATTTAAATTATTAACTGTACTATAAATATAATATTTTTAATTATTTACTTATTGATAGGCTGCATTAGCGTAAAACATGCGAAGGCAAAGTATAATTTGGGAGCCAATTTAGTGTAGCTGGTGTACATAATTCACACACAATGAGTCGCTACGAAATATCAAAATTTCTAAAATTAAAAATAAATTGTCTAAAGTAAAAATTTACTTTATCCTCTCTTCAGTGAATTATTTTTAATTAGCATGGGGTTTTTTTCCTGGCTTCGCGGAGTGAACGAACTATTTACTCAATTATATAGATATATATATATAGTTTTCCATTTAATCTCTCAAATTTAAAACATACAGTAGAATTTGCCAGTATTCACTACTCTTGCTACATTCTGGATCTGAGCTTGCAGATGTAGAGCTCCTACATATACATGCACAAAAGTTAGTTTTTCTTTGTAGGTATTGTAAAAAAAAAAATTAACGACACACAAACATTTACCAAACGCCAATAGTAACATAATATTAAGTACTTTTCCGTTCCTTAATTAATTTTTGTTATAAATTTATGTCTTGCTTAGACTATCACTTTTTAACCAATTTCACCATTTGGCTGCCTGAACAATCAATGTTCAATATTATTTAACTATACACCATCCGGCAATAATGTAAAAGAAAGAAATGGATAGGCTTTTTAATGTTGGAATGAAATACGTATGAATAATGTATGTTGGTATGTTTAAGAAAATTAAAAATATATATGGAAAAAATGTAAAGAAATTAAGTTAAAGAAAACAATTGGAAATACAATTTTTTTTATGTAACTAACTTTATAAAGTCATACATACATGTGACTGATAAAATTTCTTAAGATTTCATATACTTGTCCCTTTCGAAGTCGAAGATTTTGCAGAACAGTACAAATATTTTGCAGAGTAAAATAATAAATGTAAAAGCCCATACGTTCATGAATTTTATTTTCATTTACATATGTACATACTCGTATGTGTGTATGCTTGTATGAAATATAAAAACTTAGTAATCCTTGTCCATTAGAATATTCGTATTTCTTTACTACTATTAAAAATACTCATCACCTTCCTTAATTTTAATTTGTTCAATGTAAATAATACATGAATATATGCATATATTAAATACATACATATATTTTACATGTAGGTATGTAGTTTATATGCAGAAATGAACAGGCAACTTTAAATATTAATTGATTTTTTTTGCTAATAACATATGCTTTATTTATTTTTATTTCAACATACATATATGTATATGTATGTATGTATGCTTCTATAGAAGATTATTTTTTCACATGCCCTTTTGAGAAGGAAGCATTTGTGGTGTTAGATGAACTAGAGGCAGAGTTGCTGTTAGACTTCAGCGGTGTAAAATCTATTGACGCCGAATTGATGCAGTAGCGTAGATTTTTTGGTGGTGGACCATCATCAAAAACGTGTCCCATATGCGCCGAGCATTTGGAGCAACGCACCTCTGTACGCACCATGCCTAGCATTTTCGAAATTACTACTATGTTTCATTAGCACATTTATTTTTTACATACATATGTATGCATATGTATATTATGTACATATGTATGTGTTGTTTATTCAAAAATGTGATTTATATAAAAAGGTGTATAGCAGTAAGCGCACAGTGTAACAATAAATGCACGAGTATGTATGTAGTAGATTGGTTTCAAATAATTCGTTTTAATTAATTTTTTTATAATTCATTTTTTTAACATAATTTTCAATATAATATATTTTCATTGACGAGTTTTAATTTTTCGCGTATATTAAGTCGATGGTTTTTTTTTTTTTTTTGATAGCACGTACAGATTAAGAGATGTTGCAGTTAGGCAAAAGAAGGAAGGAAGAGAAATCTTTAATTATAGGGATTACAATTTCGTAGCACTAATTCAATAGATGCATGTACACACATAGACTTGTACGCATACAAACGACTGAACGAACACACAAACGCATAAATCATTGGAATTAACAAACGAACAAACTCGGAAAATCTCGTTAATAAATTAATTAGTTTATTTATTTTTTTTTTTGACAAACTACAAACGAATAAAGCAAACACCTACATACATACGCATACATACAACAGACTCTAATTAGTTGAAACGAATACTAATAATACCATTAAATGCTACTGAAGCGTGTAAATTCAATAATTATTTATATACAATATTGTGATTTGCATTATAAAGGTCAAAATAAATTCAAGAGCTCTAAAACTTAAAAAAATTGGCTGAAAGGAAATTAGATTATTTTAAGCACAAAAGCACACACTTAGAAGTATAAGTGATCCTACAATTTTGGTAAATGCATTTTTTTTTTGCTCACAGGGTACCTTTGGGTCCTAGAAATGATATGCAATTGATATTAAAGTGAAAAAAAATTATTTTTTTATACTTCAATATTTAATAGTTACTTCAAAGTACGATTGCTGTAATACCACGCAATTTTCTATTTATTCATATAAAACCGAATTTGTTGTTTGTATACACACATACAAACGAGTATATAAAAATTTTATATTTTCTTGCTCTTCGAAAATGTTGTTATACTTAGCAACTAAAATGTGTGCCAGGCTCTAATATTATAATTCAAAATATAATTTTTTTTTCGGAAAACAGCAAAGGATAAAATGTACATATGTATATTTTCACAATTAAAAGAAAAAAATTAAATTGAAAAAATTAGTATTATTTTCGTATATCCTCACGAAAATCCAAAACATCCTTATTCGTCTGAAGACTTTTAATTAAAATATATAAAGATCACGAAAATTACTTCGAATTCATAGTTTTTTTCGGGCAAATTCATCAGTTTTCTTTTAACTTTTAATTATATATACATAGTACAAGTGCAATATTCGAAAAATTTCAGAGATCAATTTTATTCATTAAAAATTCATTCAAAATTAAGGAAAAAGAAAACAATCTGCCAATATTTTTTTTGGTTTCGAACCTAATAACCTGAAATAGCTACTCATTCGCGTGAGTTAATTTGTAATTGTTTGATTTTCAACTGTTTCTCTACTGTAACGCTCTCTGTGATAATTTTAAAATTTTTTCCTTAATGTTTATATATATATATAATATATATATTTGAATTACTATATTTCGCAATAACATATATATAAAAAAAAAATTTAAATATAAAAACAAAAAATAATTAAAAATAATACCACTAGATTAAATAATTATATAAATAAAAATATTATTTAGCTAATTATACGTCTTCTATTCTTTCTATGCTGTCACAATAATGTTTCAGTTAACAGTTATACTTATGTTGTAAAAAAATTAAATATCAATTAACTTTAACTTTGATTTTGAGAATAATTGATCCAGAAATACGTTGTAACAAATAGATTAAAATCAGTATAAGAAACGGGATCGGTTAAAAATTTATAAAACCGAAAACCAAACAGTTTACATATCTTCTCATTTTATGAGCTTAATCAAAATGTTTTTTAATTCTTTCTATTTGGAGCAATTCTCTACCATAAAAAGTTATTAAAGTATATACTGTTTACTGAATTTGCAAATAAGGTAATTAACTATATATAATTGAAACTAGCTAACAAAGCTGGCAATTGAAATGAAATCACTGTACTGCCAATTTGTTGAAAGTTCAACTCAATCTTTTTCTACCGCATATATTAAATCATCGTTATATTCCAATTATGGCTATTTTTCAATAGCTTTTATAACATAGTATGTAATTAATATACATTTATCGTGCAAGAATTGTTATTATCATAAAAGTAATTTCAAAGTGCAGGCTGGCACTGCAAAAACTTTTGTAGAATTGCAAACAAATATTATTTTGCTGCCAAATTAAGGTCGTTTATGAATAAACTTAACATATGTATGTACATATCACTAAACGCAGTAGAAACAGTTATAAAAACGACTAGAATCTAAAATTGCACAAGCACAAAAGCCAAACTCTTTTGTAAACAACAAAAATAAAAATAAAATTATGTAAATAATTAAATAATTTAATAAAATAACCAAAATATAAACTGTATTTGCCACCGATTCGTGCAACTATAATACGCATATATGTATCTATGTACATACGTACTCGTGCACAGAAGCACGAGCGCAACTATAGCAGCAACAGCAACAGTTGCAAACAAACATCTAGTTATGTTACCTTAGTAGCAAATTCTTTTTACCTGGAATACTAGCATCACGATGTAATGTTATTTTGCCTTTATCAAGCACATCATTGAAAGCGGGCCATCCACAACCTGAATCGTATTTGGTATCGGAACTGAAGAGGTCTTGCTGGCAAACAATGCAGCGGTATATACCCTTTTCATAGTGTTTATTGTAACAACCTGTAGATATATATTTTATTATATTAATATATATTTAATGTAAGAAACTATTTCGCACGCACCTGTAAATGGTCGCTCTGTAGCAGCCTCCTGTGTCACCTGATATTGAAGGGGTGTTAGACGTTTCTTCAGCTCCTCTTTATTCACACTAACTTTTTCGGTTTTGTTTTCCATTTTCTTACTTATTGTATTAACAGTATTTTCCTGGCTGTATGGTTTATCTGTAATTATGTGTAGTTTTTACATTAATAAATGCATATGTGAAAACAATTCGACCTTTAATCATATACAGATAAAGTTATTCACTTTTTCATTCAACAATATTAATATTTATAAAACTAAGAGTATGCTAAAATAATTAATATTAAGATTATAAAGGCATAAGTGTGCACTGACTGTTTTTATGTTACTTTGAAAAGAGCATGTGACACTCAAGTTTGATTTATGATGGTCTATTTAAAAGCCTTTAATTAGGTATCATATAATTAAGATAAACTAATCTAAACAGTGTGAATAACGTGATAGATTAACCACTGTGAGCAAATACATATACAAACATGTATGATTTCTTACTTAAGTACCCATAAACATTTTGTATTCAAATAATTTCATAAGTAAAAGGAGAAAGAAAACAAAATTTTTTTATACAAACTATAATTATTATTAAATATAATGTAACATAAAACTAAAATAAAAAAGTAGTTTAAATATTAATTGCGAATAAATGTATTTTGAATTAAAAAAAATAAACAATTCTAAGTATGGAAACTTATAAAAATAGTACCTTTACAATTTTCAATATCAGAGCTAAACTAGATATACTTGACATTTTTAGTATAAAAATGTATTCAGTTGATTCAAAATTCTATGAAGAAATTTTCTGTTGTTCTTGTCCACTTAGAGACAGGCTTGTTAGTCTAAGTCACCAAGTTCATCGAACGGGAAGTTCAGGAAACGAGAATCGCGATAGATGTGTCGGTTTTAGGGGGCATCTAAAGAGGTGGTTAGTACCGTGCGGGCACTCGTAACCCGCTGGACATACGTTGGGTATGTCAGGGCAAGTCTGGATAGGTAGGTGTTTAACCTACTACAATATCCTAACCTAGTCTTTGAAGATGTAAACTGACTCCTGGTGAATGTCATGTATGTTTTTCCGCCGTCCTGACCAGCGGTTGTTTACGTGCTGTTGGATTATGCCCTTTAAATCAAGCACTCCCTTTCTGAAGTGACTAGGTGGAGGTTGAGCATCTGTTATTATTGGTGTGGCTCCAGTGGTATCAGGTTTAGAAGATGAGGAATATATAATTTATAAAGGGTAAACGAACCGTGGTTAGGCTTTTGTATTTTTAAAGGCATTCCCGGCAGACAAACATTAAAACTTTGACCTTCTGCACATTGTTTTGATATTTGTATTATATACATATATTATATATAGATCTTACAGAAAGGTTCCACTGCCTTCGAATAGTTTCCTTTTATACAATTTTGGTAGTTAGATTCAGACCCACTGCCAATTACGCTCTATGTACCTATGTACATACTATACGCATATCTGTACATATATAAAAAAAACTCTATATGTAAGAAGCCCATTAACTCCTACATGCATATATGTGTGTATGTCTAGGTTATTGAAAATGGTATGCATTCACATATATCTTTACAAATCAAACTTACAAACATACTTACAAGTATATGTACCTATATATTTTATAAAGTGCGCTAATATCTGAAACATATACATATGTATATACAATTACCACTCAGTATTTTTTTATTGTACACAATTGTTTCCTAATATGGTATTCCTTTTGTATTTTGCAGCCACCTGCGGTACACACTTTATTATAAAGTTTTATTTTTAATCGCAATCAGTTGAACCACTAAGCAATGCCCAAATTGTAAACATTGGCACGCACAGAGCAAATGCTATATATTGTAAGATATATATTACCTATATACTCATATATTGGTACATATGTACATGAATGAATGTCCATATGCATGTATACAAGTGTTTTCATGCGAACACGTACGTTGTAATTTTGGTTAGGCAAAGTCTTTAATAAAAACTTTCACTGCGTTATAGTTTTTATGGCCAAATTAGTGACGGAGCATCTCAACAAGCCTATGTTTTTGTCAAAATAAACATAAACTCATAAGCAACCAAAGCTCATACATGTTGTACATTTGATACATATGTATAATATATGAATGTATATGATTTTTCTTTAAGTACATATATAAGTACATATATAGAGATATTGTTCGCCGATCCGTCCCAGTCAATACAGTTGTTTTCGATAAAAAAAAAACTTTTAGTGCAAAATGTTGAGGTATGTATGTGATCACTCACCCGAAAAATTTCTTAGGTTTGTGAGTGCGTGGGTTTTCTGCACAGGAAAATTAAGATTAAATACTCGACTCAAATTGTATAATTTTGGGTCCAACCGAATACTCCGTTGTAAGATACGAAAAAGCGAAAACATTTCCCTTAAAATACATATGTATGCATAGTAATGAAATAATTACGAGCTTCTTAGACCCATGCAACTCCACACCTATTTTTTCCACTGTTACTTAATCAAGTTACTGAACAAGAATTAAAATAGTGCCAGAAAAAATTTCCGTAAAACTATGTAAAAATTGCGCAGCTACTAACAAATACTCTACAATTTTCTCGTCTAACAAATTTAGCGAAATGTCAAAGCAAAGCAATATAAAGTAGAAATAGAGACAATACAAACTGCAAAAAGCAAATTTGCTTTCCACACGCCTGTTTGGACAACCGATCCGTCCTTGAGCTATGGCCGCCATATTAGCCAATACAAGGTTATCGTATATTTATTCCACTTAATTGTCTCACCTGTCTTGACCTTTAGTTATATATCTACTTTTCACTTCAACTATAGAACTATTTAAATTTATGTATAATGTAATACGCAATTGGATTACATCGAATTTAATAATTAAATGTTGTTTCCACGCCAATCTTAAGAAAACTGACAACTACGAATAGCCCAATGACAAAATAGTGGGGAAATAACTTTGCAGTGAAACGTCATATGCGGGCGCAACAAAACTTTGTAGTTTTGGGGCTGTATAAAAAGCGCGAGGGGGTGGCTTGTATGTATTAGTTGACAGCGATTTGCCGGATAATGTAAATAAAGGAAACCCCATTAATGTAAAACGTCAAAACCAGCTGTTAATGACCGATGATAGTGATTGTGAATGGAATACGTTCTTTAGTTCTCTGGTCAGAGATCGTATAATAATATACGTTCTTTGTCCTTATTATTTAAATTCGCTTTCGCTTTTAATCAATGGCAAATTATTGTGAATAGCTACACAGAAGCAGCTGATTAATGCATAAAGAAAAAAATTGTAATATTTTATAATGGATCCGAATTTACGAAATGTGCGTAGGTTTTAATAGAAAATTTTTGCTTATAACTAATTTAATTTTACCTTAGCTTAAAGATTTTCTAACACTCTACAATAAGGTAACGGAACTTTGTTTCTCAAGATGCGTAGAAACACTTTACGAACGGGATTTAACTAATTCTGAAGTAAGTAATCGCATTTCATAAAATTTCTCCCAGATTTGCTAAAATATACCTATTTCATTTGTAGAGTGCGTGTATTGATCGATGTGTAACGAAATTTGCGCGGTTTAATCAGAAAATGATGAACGTTTACGTTGAAGTACAGTCTGAGATAAATCAAAGACGAATGGAAGAGCTTGAGGCAAATCAAAAGCAATTAGAACAAGCAAAATCAACATCTGCGGCACCAACTCCTAGTATAGCAAATTTGTCGACAACGAATAGAGGACAAACTCAAGTCCTATCATAGAATAAAGTATATGTAAATAGCCAATATATATTCATATCTACTTAATTGTATCTATAGATTTGTTATAAGTAACCTACATGGTAATACATATAAGTATGCCGACACGTATTTGCATTTTGGCATTAATTGGCTTGCCCGCAGCAGGTAAAACAACATTTTGTAAATGGGTTGCATTGATGTCAAAAAGTTCGTTCAATGTCATTCATATTTGTTATGATGATCATCTGCAATTACCACAAAACTCTGCTAGCAAAGATTTTCAATTTAGAGATCAACGTACCGAAATCTTGTCAACAATAAGCTCATTAGTGGGCGCATTAAATAACAACGGCACAGTTCCGGATCATATTAATTTTTATGTAAAAAATTCGGAAAATTCAAAATGTCGTGACTACTTGATCCTGTGTGATGACAACAATTATTATCGTAGCATGAGATATAAGCTGTATCAGTTGTGCAAGCAAAATAAATGTGCTTATGGCCAAATTTATTTTAACTGCGATTTACAATTGGCGCTGATTCGAAATAATACAAGAGGTTCTCAGAACCGAGTGTCGGATGAAATTTTAAAACGAATGGAAAACCGACTTGAGAAGCCTACCGATTCACAGCAACACTGGGAGGCTAATACATTCATTTTGGATGCAAGCGAAAATTACGAAGCAAAAAAAATGGAGATTCTTAGATATCTTTGCAAAACATTTGAAAATGTTCCAGAATCACAAATGGTCGACACGAAAGTAGGAACAGAGCAGTCACTTGCGCATAAACTAGATTTGTTACTACGAAGAAGAATTCGCGAAATCTTACAATCAAAGGAAGATACAGCTGGGCGCCAAAAAATTGCGCAAAATTTAAATGCTAAACGCCAGCAAATATTGCATGAAATAAGGTCAAAAGCCGAGGAAAATAACCTAAAAATCGATGACATTGACAAGTACGTGAACTTGCTACATTAATGTGCTATTAGAAACTTACTATACTGTTTTATTGTCTGTAGATATGTGTATTGTGAAATTACCATCCACCCACTAAAACATTTTAGTTTAATATTTGGTTTTTATTGAATAAAGAGATGCTACGTATTTATGTAACGTTTTATTCTAAAAAAAAATTACATTGGTAGGTATACTATATATTATTTGGTACATATAGATTTATTGAACATGCAAGATTTGTTTCTTTAGATTTATAACTTATATTACATATGTATGTATATACGAGTATTTGTAAATAATAACTGTAAATTGTGTTTTATTACGTATGTTTAAATGCGTCCCTTGAATCACCACAAAGCACATCCAGTGGATTTAGGATTCGTACACCTATAAGGGCTAAACGTATGCACGACCCTTTTTTCGGTGTTTACAAAATATTGAAATGCTCGCAGATATTTGGGCAAACTATCAACAAACAAATGTATTTATTTTTAAAAGCAGATTATTTTTGTCTTTGTTCAAATCTGTAATAAATATTTAAAAGTGATATAAAAAAAATGATGCTGATGAGAACTTGCATAAATGATATCATATAAAAAGTGTCTTCGATTTTAGTAATGCGCAAGTATTTACTTTAAAATAATGTAAATACACAAAATATGTTACAGTATTTTTGCAAATGTCCGCAAACTGTAATGTTGAGTGAATATTAGAGCGTTACTTTACATTAAATCACATATAAAAACAGTTTTGCTTCTCTAGTAAAATGATTTGGTTACTTTGTCTTTTAAGTCTTTTGTAGGGCAACAAGTTTTATAAAGATAAAATCTCATTTTGTAGTTTTCATACTCAAAATCGTTAAAAAAAGTTTTTGTATTTATCATGAACACATTTACTAGACCATTTGCTTAAATGGTAATAATTGTTTTTTTTCTTTTGTTAATATAAATAAAAATCAAATTGATTTATTGACATCACTCGCAGCATAAAAAATAACAGAAATTAATACAATATATGGTTTAAATGGGCCTAAATTAATTATGTCAGTTAAATTTTTTTTTGACAATTTTTAAGCAATAATTCAACGTCAACACTTTTGTATACAGTATTTTGAATTAAAGACAATAATGTGGGTATAAAGATATGAGTGGCATTAAATACTCTTTATAAAATTTGAATGTTTTGGAAGTTATAATATTCAGTCATTAATCATCATTCATTCATTTTTTCTTTAAAGTACACCAAAAAAAAAGAATTCTGCTTAACAAATTTTTTGTGGAGTAACAAATTTTATAAAAATAAAATCTTGATTTTTTAATATCATAACTCCATAGTCAAAATTGTAACGAGCACATTGTTATCTAGTATATATATCTGTTTCGAGTTACGTTTTTTGATAAGCTGTTTTAGCCAGTTGAAAATGATAATTTAGTAGTCAAAAGTAATACTTAAAAATAATATTGCGTATACGAAGCTCTTCGGAAAAAAATAAATATGAGATAGGAATATAATATTATATAACATCGACCGAATGCTACTGCAGTCTATGGCAATTATTACAAAAAAAATTTGTGTGGAAACATAGTTTAATGAAATGATGCCTTGCATGCAGTACAAACATTTTTGATATAAATAATAATAAAATATATAGATTCGATATTATAAATATATTTTTCACCCATAACAGCAACAAATATGTTTTTTTTTTTTGTTCTTTTGCTAACTTGTTCGACCACGCCTAGCAACAGGCAAAAATTAGTCTAAGATCATCTGAGGGGTTCGGAGCAAATAAGAGAAAAGTCTATATAGATGTTGACAGACTTTATGAATGAATGGTGTTTAGGGTTTAGGGTCTGTCGGTATCAGTGTTGCTTTTTTGCAACAGTCGTAAAGGCGAATAGCATGATTGCTTGCCTATAACCGAAATAAAAGAATTACAGACGCACCAAAAATCAAACCAATGTAGGGTTCAACATCAAATATTGAGATGGATTTGTTGCTCTGGTGACGTGCTTAGACTAAATTCACATGTTGTTCTAAACGGGGTTAAGTTGCGGAAAAGAGACAGCCCTGGGTCGGAAAAAACCGATACGTAGAACCGACTGCCGTGAGAGTCGAAAAAAATATTGTATTAAGACATTTTCATTAAAGTTTTTTTTTTTTAAATAACTATGAGCACGATAATGTATAAACTCGGTAGAATTCTTACTGTCAACGCACCATCTATCATAATTTTAAAAAACTCACGCATTCCAACGAGATTTTTGCAGATCAATTTGGCCTTCCAAAGTTTTAGCTAAATATATAATAAAAAGTTGTAATAACGCTACTCCAAGCGCAATACCTGCAATGGTATATAAGTTTCGTTCTGCCCAAACCCGAACTATCTCAATGCATCCACTTGTCCAAATACGTTTGCTAGCTGCAGGTACTGAATGCTCTTGAACTCCATACCCGCACATAATGTTAACCAATCCCGAACTGATGTCAGTTGCATTAATGCAACAACTGTATGGGACGCCGCAGCGTTCCACTGATGGTGATGAGCAGTTGAAATACTCGTTCTTGCCTGTAAAATATGTGATATAACACCTTCCTGAATTTTAGTGTCATTTTTTGTTTACTTACTCCAGTCTTGGTATCCAGAATTGCTTAATCCGCAGCATTTAAATTCAAGTTGTGCAAAATCGATTAGATTCTGCAAATCTGGGTCATCGCGATATGAATGTATAATTTTATCAGTGAATTTGTCTTCTAGAAAAGAGTTCATATTATGCGGAAACACAAATCCCATTATGGCAATAGCCAATTCCAGCAGGAAAAACATTAATAAGCACATTGTATAAAATTTTAATAAACAGGTGTTTTCTCGTAAAGCACCAAGGCAGCCAGCAAAACTGACCACAGAAATTAGTACTCCAGTCAACATCATTACTAATGAAATATTGAGTATTACATCGTAAAATGTCTCTAAACGTACCCATCCTGTGGCTTCCCATTTATCCATAAAAGCATAGAGACCAATGCCCAGTAACAACCCACCAGATAGCCAAAATATGAAATTTAGCATGAAGATTAAATACTTGACACACGAACTAACGTATGTAAAATTCTGAGAGATTCTTGGATGCATGTTTCGTATTTCGATACCACTGTAGCCACCGCCACCTCCATGGTGACGATAATTACTCATAGCTAAGTGGACCGACTTTTTATTTGAATTATTCACAGCGACTTGCCACTTATCTCAACAGACTTCAGCAATATTTTTCTCAACGGGGTTTGTTTATTTTTCTTTGTTTTAATATTTTTTTACTCCTCAGAAAATAAACTTCAAATATTTTTATATTTTTTACGCTTTTCCTTTTAGATATGAATTTCTTTTACACACTTCGTTTTCTTCCTGATTTCTGTACTCTGTAATTTAAAACATTTTTTTAGCCATTAGCTGTTGCACACATAAAATTGGTTTTTGTTAAAAAATTCCTACATATTCATTTGTTATTTCTGAACCCTTTTTGTAAATTATTTTTCTGGGAACTGTTTTCTTCTCCGACTTGGAATATTTATGTGCTCAAAACTCTTTGACAATCAAATATGTACTTAGATGTTTTTTGTTTTGTATTTTAGAAACGACAGCACAGGGTAATAGAGATTACTTATTTTTATGCTTAGTGAATTAATACAATGTCGTTGAAATGTCGTTTATTTTATGCTCCCTGTGGTAGCAACCCAGCAGAAATTGCTTGCGCAGGAAGACATTATTCTGCTTAACTCGTAGCATTGATGCTTCGCTGTGAAAGTGATGCTCTGGCGATATCAGGACGTTTACTTCCGTGGTCGAAGGATAGTTATGACGCATTAATTCGAGCAGTAGAAAGATTCTGTGGTAGTGAGTGGAAGAGGCAAATTTACCAGATAGAGCTTTAGAGATTAACTTATTTAGGAACTGGAAACTCCTCTGACCTCCAGAAGGTAAAATTGCAGATGTTTATCAGCGGATTAACGGGCATATATACCAACGGTAAGCGTATACGAATCCAAAACCAACGAGTGATGAAATCGTCGCTATTTAGATTAGTGTACAAAGCAAATCATGTGAAGGGAGAAACTACAGGTGTGAATGAGAAGGTACTCAAAACGCGATCGTAAAATTTTCAGCAGAGGAGTGGAAGGCAAGTCACTTTCAAAAATGCGACAATAAATGGACAGATGGTCAAGAAAAGAGGAAAAGGCAGTGGTAAGTCCAATGGCATTGCCATACTGATACAATGGGGCATATCAGGACATTTTCAAGAAAATCCGCAATGGGCACATAAACCCATATTAAATAGTGGCACGAGAAGAATTGCGAAGAAGTCTATCGTCCTAGAGAAACAGCCAAGAGAGATTCATGCTCTTGTGAGACAGAGACAGGTATGATAAGATGCTGAACTGTGGAGATTTCCATGATAGAGATTTAGTTTTGCTATACAATCCACAATGGAAAAAAGTCGTGTTCCCAAAACTTTGATGCAATTGGGAAGATCCTTATATGGTAGTCAAGCAGCGAAACGGCATGGTCTATCGTATATCCAGACCGCTGGGAAACCAAGAAACAATTAGTGAATAATGAAAATGGTTCCCCTGAAGGACTTTGCCGCGTTTCAGATAGCAAATGTGCCTAGGGATCATCAGCATCAAAAATAGTACGATTGGCACGGCATAGTTTAAACGTTAGCTATATCCACATAACAGAGGAGGAGCAAATCAACCTTTTTCAGATGAAACAATTTTTTATTATACGTTTACTTATTATACTATATATGATAACTATTTAATATTTATTAAGTCGTTCTGAACAGAGCGCGTGCATCGAATGTTCGTAATCGAGAACATGAGATTATGTTTCTTCTAGAAGATAAATGCGAGTAACTTGTTGCTATATAAGAGCGAAACGGACGAGCTCGAAAGTATTGGGAAATCATCCAGGCGTATTTAGCAAAAATCATTACAGTATTTAAGTTCGATTCCGACAGAAATCGCATTTCAGTAGACCCATGTGTGCTGTTTCGTTACAAGTATTACATTTTATTATTCAAGCAAATAGAAATTGGTAACAATTTGTTTAAGTCAATATTATTGCGAACAGATCCAATATGAACATCACTAATGTAAAACGAAAAAATCAACGATGGTAGATAATATCAAATCTTGTGTGTGACCATTGGAATGGGTGTATATTTTGTTCACTGTACAAGACCAAATGCTGAGTTATCAATAGTACTGAATCATAGGCAGAATAAAGGCTACATTGCAATTCAAACTACATTGATAAAAGAGAGCTGTGAAGAGAGAGGTTTGAATTGTACTATGCCCGGTATAACTGATAAAGCATAATATTGCTGATAATCAAAACAATTCAAATTACCGAAAATCTAATCTACCATAAAGGAGTAAAAACTACAAAAATTGCTGAAAAAATTCTGCCAGCGGTGTAGACATATGTGTTGACATCTGAACATACAGTCAGTCTGCATAACAGTGGTGGTCCGATTAGTTTATACACGAATGCATGCTCCTCATCATATAATAGTTTTACATTTGAGCCGTTTTTATACGAAATGAATTTTCTGTTGAGATTCATAGTTTTTTTACTTGATCCGTCTGGCTTGGGACGCCGCTTATTAATCCGTCCTGCACTCAGAGTAGGACACAATGTCTACGATGGTTTTAAGACAAGAGCTGATGAAAAAGTTGGCACTATGAAGGAATTGGTACTGCGTGTCGGATTAATCGCATTCGTGGTGGTACTGATTATTTGGATAGCAGTATTCATGTACGTCGCATTCTATTATACATACATGCCGGCCATATCGCACACGCGTCCAGTACATATGCAATTCAAGTAAGTAAAAGGATGAACAATTCAACAATATACTTTTTATAATTTTTATAATATTATTAGATCTTGTTTGGATTCAACAACACCTTGTACATTTCCACACGCACATGTTTCGCTCACAAAGAAGCAACAACTCCTAATGGTAGGTCAAGCTTATCGCGTGGTTGTGCAAATCGAAATGCCAGAATCGCCGCAGAATTTAGATTTGGGCATGTTTATGGTATGTGGGGAAATGCGAGATACCAATGCTCTATTGCGTGGACAGTCTTGTCGTTCAGCCATGATGCGGTATCGTTCTCCTCTTATTCGTATAATTAGTACATGGGCGTTAAGTCCATTCTTTGTCCTTGGCTTGAAAGAGGAATTTCAGCGTGTGGCAGTTGAAGTTTTTGCGAATTATTTAGAAGAACGACAACATCCAATTACAGACGTTTATGTTGAGATACAGTCTCAAAAGATACAGTTTTATACCGTTTCCTTGCATATAGTCGCTGACTTCACTGGACTTAGGTACATTATGTACAATTGGCCAATAATATCGGCCGTTGTTGGTAAGCTCGATATATTAAAAGAAATAGCATGTACCTGACTTACACTTTTTAAATCTTACAGCAATCAGCACCAATTTGTTCTTTATTTTGGTGATATTCCTACTAAGTTGGTATCATTGGTCTGACACAACTTGGTTGCACAATTTACGTCAAAAATACGGACGGATTACCGAAACAATACAGCGCAAAGCAAGTAAAGCGATTGAGTCTAAAAGCGGGTTTCGAGATGATGAGGATCTAAACTTCCTCGATGACAAGTCCATTGGCTCAGAAATTGAAGAGATTGGGGGCAGCAGCGATAGTCGCAGCAGCAGCAAAGAAGAGTTGCTTGGTAGTAAGCCCAAAACAAGTAATGAAGAGGAGCAACTTCGTCAGCGTAGACCGCGAGAAAAATTTTAAATTTTCAAGGCTTAATAAGGTCGTTAAAAAAAACGGAATACGATTAGACTGATATTTTAGAATACCTAACCTTATTAGTGTGCATGAAAAGGAACGTTAATAAGCAGACTTTTGTGTTTATAAATTCGAAGTCAAATTAAAAATACCTTCAAGCATTCTAGTTGTTAGCAAAATTATACATACATACGTATGTATTTGCTTAAAAATTTTTAAAATATTTTTTTTATACTTATTAATTGCTAGTAATCTTCTTGGAGTATATACATATATAGTATATATGTAATTCAATATGGAAGATTTTTCTCAGAAGGTTCAAAGATATACATAGTATAAATGAATAAAAGTGATGAATATGAAAGCTTAAATTTTTCCTCATACCTGGAAGCGAATATTATACATATATTATAAGTGTATAAAGAGTAGAATTAAATATAACCATTTATATATATTTAATGTAAGAAACTCTTTGTGCTTTATTTAACGTTTTCATAGTTTCTTTCTACAATTTTACAATAGCGCGAATGCTCTTGCCGGCATGCATTAAATCAAATGCTTCATTAATGGCTTTCAAGTCCATGGTGTGCGTAATGAATTCATCTACCATAAGTTCTTTGTTCAAATATTCCTTGACCAATTTAGGTACATCTGATACACTTTTCCATCCGCCAAAAGCAGTGCCCTTCCATGTTCGTCCAACAACCAATTGGAAAGGTCGCGTACTTATTTCCTGACCAGAAGCTGCAACACCAATAATAACGGAAGTACCCCATCCTTTGTGTGTTGCCTCTAATGCGGCACGCATTGTATTTACATTGCCGATGCATTCAAAAGTATAATCAAAACCACCATCCAATAGGTCGATAATATAATTTTGAATGGGACCCTTATCAGCCACATCTTTTGGATTGATAAAATCGGTCACACCGAATTTTTTAGCTACTTCAAACTTATCAGGGTTTATATCGATACCGTAGACTTTAGCAGCACCAGCTTTCCGACAGCCCATAGCTGTGGCTAGACCGACGGCGCCTAAGCCCCAAATACCGCAAATGCTGCCCGGTTCCACTTTGGCAGTATTAATTGCCGCACCGTAACCTGTGGGAATGCCACAACCAAGAAGTCCGACCTTTTCCAGTGATGCATTTTCATCAATCTAAATAAAAACTTATTTAATTAGTTACAAAGAAATTATTATTATTATTTTTTTAATTATTTCACTAACCTTGCACAGTGATATATCAGCGACCACTGTATATTGCGCGAATGTCGAGGTACCCATGAAATGAAATACTTTCTGACCCTTACATGTAAAACGTGATGTGCCATCAGGCATCAGACCTTGTCCTTGAGTTGATCGCACCTTTTGACAAAGATTTGTTTTGTTGCTTTTGCAGAATTTGCACTCATTGCATTGTGGAATGTAAAGAGGGATGACATGATCTCCAGTCTTAAATCCAGTAACGCCTTCGCCAACGCTTTCTACTATACCAGCTCCTTCGTGCCCAAGTATAACTGGAAATACTGTGAAATTTTATTTGTTTAGTATTTTTATACTGAAGTTTTAGAAATACTTTTAAATAATTGTCATGCATATGGACATATGTGTGATAATGAATAGTTTGTGTAGCTCACTAACCTCCTTCAGGATCAAAGCCACCCAGAGTGTACGCGTCAGTATGACAAACACCGGAAGCAATTATTTTGACTCGCACTTCGTGAGCTTTGGGTGGTGCCACCTCCACATCCTCTATCACAAGTGGTTTTTTGGCCTCCCAAGCAATAGCAGCTTTGCAAGTAATGATCTTGTGAAATTGGAAGTAGCGATATTATTTAAAGGTAATCAAATACACATACGTATGTAGTATATATTCACATACATGCATATATTAATGTACATACATATACACCCGTTGCAACTCTCTGGTGAACACATATAAGTATATGCACATTAATGAATACTGTAGATATTCAAATTTATTTAATTTACTTACTTTGCCTTCAGTTGACATGTTCAAAAACCTTCTTAGTGTTAGAATTAAATTTGGTGAATGGTATACAGATAATAAAGACAAATCTTTGACTGAAAATGACTGTTTCAAATGACGGCCGAGTACAAATTGTTTTTTGCAATGTGGAATGTGTCTACATACGCCAAATGAGAAATACCGGCAGAATACAACCACATCTACAAGATTGAGGGATTTTACATGCGCATATGTTCATATAAATGGCGCTTTATAACCGGATTAGTTATTTCTGGCCGATCTTTTGCTTCGATATGTGAAGTGTGTCTTATATTTTTCCTACCAATACAATCTACTCTCTGAACTGATTTATAAACACATTTAGCTAATATTTCTTTACGACAATCAATCATTTTCAGTTCACAAAAGAGATAAGTAACGCCGACAGTGCCGCATGAAAGGGTTTCGAGAACAAAGTATTAATTTGAATAGGAAGCCAACCTATGCTCTCGCGATTTGCAGAATGCACTGCTATCCACTCTTCAACAGCAGCCGCTTTACTTTAATATTTGCCCTACCTCTCCCATGGCATTGAACAGCTTGTTGAATGATAATAAAAATCATATGTATGTATGTATGTATATTCGACTGTAGATCATTGCTTAGCCGAGTGGTAGCTTTTGTGTGGAGCAACACTCCACAAATTTCACTTAACATTTTTTATAGCGATGAGCATCTGTTTGATTTTTATACCAGAGAATGTAATATTTCTCATGACGTTTCTAGAAAACTGGTCGTCTTGCTCTCACCATCCACATGGGAGAACTCGTCGAATAATGTCTGATAAGAAAGATGAGCATTTATCAGCTCTGTTCGGTAAGAAATGCTTGCAAGAATTAGCCAGTAACGAGATTACAAAATTGTGCACTCTGGCTTTTTGACTTACCGAAGGTGATTCGGTAAAAACTGATCATATCACCGAACAGAACTTTTGAGAACATACATACTGTTGCGAAAATGCGAGGCGAATGTCAGATGAAAGAGAGAAGCCGATAACTAGTACGATAAAACAAGAACCTTCCATAGCGAACAATTCGATGCTTCTACGCTTTCGTCTGCGAGCAGCCGACTGCTATATAAAGGCGACACTCAGCTGCAAGTCAAGTTAGTGACAAAGTGAACTGGTTGGCGTTAACATCAGTAAAGTCGTAAAGTAAACGCGTTGGAGATTACATTTAAGTAGAGTAAATTGTGAAAGTTGATGTTAGTGATTATAAATAGTAAAGTGCAGTATAATTGAATTGTGAATTACTGAGAAAATAAAGGACATTAGATAGAATCTTTATAACGAAAGAAACTGCAAATTAAGTTGGCGAGTTTTTATTTAACAATCCAGAGATCGTACCCGAAGGATTTAGAAAATAATCGAGGTTGATTTAGTAAAATCGTAACAATACATATGTATACCAATATGCAAAGAGGGGATTGAAATGTAATTGCGAAAATTTAGTGCATTTTTCTCTTCGAGAGGGTAAAACATCTTATGCTCTTAATTTCGTTATTGGCTAATTAATGCTTTAAAGATAACATTTCTCACCGAACGGAACTAATGTGTAATCAATGCGTCGATTGTATGCATGTATGTAGATAGACATTTAGTTTATGAATTACCGTAAATTGGGGCTACATGAACACAACTCTACGAGGATAACAAAATGGTTGACCTGGAAAAAGCTTTATATGTTTGCAGTTCTTGGCGGGATGTTAAAGAAAACGACACCAGAAATATTTAAAGTACTTACCTCGGCAAACTCTTTTACGGACGATGCTTGGAAAAAATATGAATCCTGTTGGACATCCAAGCGTTTTAAATAATTTTGAGGAGCAGTTGTTTTCTAAAACTCTTGGTTTAGCGAATTAGAGATTGCCCTTGACAAAGATAGATATTCTAGATGTGAAGAAAAAAATATAATTAACAAGGACTTGCCCCTATAGATTATATGACAGTTTCCGTAAAAATCTTAATTGTAAAAATGGAATTTTATTTTAAATTCTCTTCTATTAAAGTATGGTCAGATTTAGCTGTCAAAAAATTAAGAAGAAATTCCGTTATTTACGAGTGGAAAAGAGAGCTGTTTTCTGATGAAACTAAGATAAATAGGGTCTCTTTAGATGGGAAAACTTATGTCCGCAGCCCTCGTTTATAGAGTTGGGGCCAAAGTACACCAGGCCAACTTTAAATCATGTTATCGAATGTATAATGATTTGGGATGCCATGTTATGACGAGGAGTTGGGCCTATTTGCAAAATTGACGGGCACGTGAACCAATTTAAGTACATAACAATCATGGGCAACATAATATTACCATAAGCTGATGGCAATATGCCCGTGAGGTGGATTTATCAGCATGATAACATAAAGCAAAGGTTTCAGGATAATATGGTTTCTATTATAAGGGCTTTCATGCAGTCCGGACTTGAACTCAATCAAGATTGTGTTTATACATTTGAAGAAAAAAGTTCGTTGAAAAAGTTGAAAATTTCCAGTATTTTTGTGAAAAATTTACATTAGAACAGAATCGTATTGCAAAGGACATTTGTAAAAGCTTAGTGGAGTCAATCCCTCTAAAATGTCAAGCCTTCATTTTAGGGCGAATTTGACAATCCTTTTACATATTTACATCCCAAAAGGGATTTTTAAACACCACTTTATTTCTTTTAATCGTCTTCGGTATATGTATATTATATAACATTTGTATTTTCAATGTTTTATGAAAGTTATGTAATCCTAACGGTTGTGTTGGTAGATGAACATGTTTTCGTTGCCCCAACTAAATATTTTCGCATTAGATTTCAAAACATTTATGAAAACGGTGTTCAAGTAGCTTCTCTTTACGGTACACTTAATAAGTATATGTGAATTATACTATAGTATATTTATTTATTATCAATTTTGCATTCTAAATTACGCTATTCAATTTCGGCCGTCATCAAGTCTCTATCGCCTACATAACAACTAATTTTCTTCTTGTGAAATACTCGCACAATATTAGATTATTTAGCTAAATTTCATCATAAGCGATTTTTAGGGCACAGGTAGATACATATGTGTATAGTATTTGAAAAAAGAAGACAAACTTGATTGCTGCTCTAAACGATAACTGTGCGTCAGAGAGTCTGCGAATCATGCCAAATTAGTTTTATATAGTTTCCAATCCTTCTTCAGACGCTGCGAGATTTAGCAATCGTCATTCCACTTACTCCCTTCCATTGAATTACTTCAAATTCTTACCTCTTCTTATTTAGTCAATTAACACTGGTCTCTTAGCATGTCGATAGCGGCTGGTCTTCACATATAGTCTTACATAAGAAATGCGATATCTTATCCGTAGACAATTCGAAGCATTTTTAATACCAACCAGTTTGTGATTGCCATCTTTACCTAGCTGTGAATCTCTCAAATACCGAATTACTACTCTTCACCAGAAGGTGTAAGCCACCGAATTTCCAATTGAAGACGATGGAAAAGTAGTTCCGTTACCCGACTATGAAGAAGTCCGAAAGCAATCGCCTGCCTAAAGAACAAAAAAGCGGCGAGGAACAATGGATTACCCCACGAGCTATTCAAATGCATGGTCATCTTTATGATTGATGAAATCGGTCACACCAGTAGCTAAAAAATTTCAAACTTATCAGTATTAATATCGATGCCGTAAGCAGCATCAGTTTTCCGATCTTATAGACCATAGCTGTCGCTAGACCAACGGCGCCTCGACCCCAAAAGCCACAACTGCTTCCCGCAACCACTTTTGAAGTATTAATTGCAGCACCGTAATCTGTTGGTTAGAAGTGAGAATTAGAACACATTTGGTTGCAGGAGGAGGGAAGGGTCACAGTAAATACTGAATTAGGCTAAATGAATGAAGAGAGGGGTCCCAGAAAGTCTATGATATGTCGACGTGGTTATGAAAAATCCCTTGGGAAAGTTTTAGACTAATGATAATATTATACAGCTTCAACGATATTTTTGGGAAAAAGATGTAAAGCTAGACAAATTGTACTTTTCCGCAAGTAATTTGTTTTTCTGAGGTTTTCATGCCTCAAATCGCTGTAAAAGATTTTCCAATATTTTGCAGATGCACCGACAGAAAACTACAGCGCTTTTCGTCCAAGCTATCCGAAACTTTTTAAGGCCCCTAATGTCTCACTACGGTCCAGATGACAACTTTTTGTAGTCAAAACTCCTCGATTTGGCTCTTTTCCGCATAATTTAATTTTTTTGGGAAAAGTGGGCATGTTACCAACTTCTTCTTATATTACATTTTATTGATTATTCATACCGCTTTTTAGATTCGAATATATAGATTGTGTTGTTTTTATTGTTTATTGTTTTATTATTTAGGAATAAAGTAGGCTTGGCATGGCATTGAATATTAAGAGAGACTGACCAAAGCACAAAAAAAAATATTTTTAAAAATAAACTGCCACCTTTCGATTGATCTAGGAATTAAGTTAAATTTAATTGAATATAATAAATATGTTAGTAATATGTTTACTATATGTACATACATATATTATGGAATGATTTTGAATAACATCATTTAGGGGCTTGTGAATCTAACTCATTCCATACGGCACATGATTTCGAGCTCGAAGATTTCACAATTTCGAAAAAAAATTCTAAAAAAGAAACTATATGGCGCAAAAGTGATGAATTTTGATCTTTCAGGTTATCCGAATTTCAAAAAAAAAAATTATAATTTAAACAACAGCCAATATATTTTATCGATGGTCTCGGATGGACTTATTTATCTAATACTAGATCTAGTAGAAAGTAATCCATTATTGGTTTTAGTGATCGGTATCTCGCGTTCTATATGCGCGACTGTCATTCTGAAGACCAAGGTTCGTGACCAAAATTATACAAATTAATGGATTGCGCTAAAAAAATTAGAAAGTTGATAAAACCTTTTTTTGCAAAAAAAAAAAGATCATGAGAGAAGTGTTGATAACTAATATCAGCAGTATTTGAGCCCACGCCAAAGGCGAACACCAGCAAACAGAAAATGCGCTCTACTCGTATTTTACAGTTTTTCTTTGATAAAGCCGAAAACTCAAGTCAGACAGCTGAAAATGTGAATAATGTTTTTGGTACTGATACTGAACAGTCAATCATGCAAAATTTTGGTTTAGTTGATTTCGTTCCTGTAATTTTGAAGTAAAAGATGCTCCAAGGCGACAAAAATAAACATAGTACAAAAAACATATTGGAACCATTTGAAAAGGCTTAAGGAGAAAAGCCTCATGGACCGAATTTTCCCCTGCAAACCGCTGCCAGCATTGACGGTCATGAAGGCTTTGCTGTGTTTTTGGTGGAATTGGCAAATAATTCAATATATTTAGTTCATATAACTGCGATTATATTCGAATTCAATCAACTAACTAACTAAGGAAGATCGGGTATTGTGGTCATCAGCCGAAATTTCATAGTGACAATTATGCACGAGCACGCTTAAGGGTACCATTGTGGACTAACCTTCTTAAGACCAAGGTTCGTGACCAAAATTATAACATCGGCAAGAAATGTCGATCCCTCCGATAACATTTATCACATAAAATAAAAGTTCCTCATGAAAATCCATAGGCCGTACGTAGGTGGCTTCGAATAGCCTATAGGGCAAGATGCATACCAAACATTCAAGGAAGAAATCCGTATTTAATAGGGGAAGGTTTTTATGAACGCAAATGCAAATTTTTTTCCGGCAGGTGAACCAGGGACGGATTTATACTGGAAAATCTTATATATGATACGATCCACTTGAAATTTAATGGATTGGTAACTTAGAATGGTTTTTAAAAATCTTATTTTGGTTTATATTGCTTGAAATTCTTTTCCTTATGAGTAGTGGAGCAGCCACCGATCAATTCGGAAAAATCGTATTTATGGTTCGGTTTGCTCGAACTTAGATTTTCTGAAATCTCTTGGATAATTTTAAATGAGGTTTCTTAAATTGACTATTGCGTTCTATTACACCTCAAAATACGCATAAGCTGGGATGTGCCTATGAATTTTCCATGGAGAGTTTACGTTGCTTGTTCGGGTGATAGCAAACCGTCTTTGTTGCTTGTGCCTGTGCCGAAAAACCGATCGGCTACTAAAATATGGAGTGGTACACAATAAAACTTAAACAATGTATATTTTATTATTACTGCGTGTTTAATCCGAAGACGAGTCGAAGTTTGTGGGTCCGCTAGTATCCTTAAGTATATAATTATAGGAACGGCCCAAATTATTTCAGTGAAAAACACTCACAAGCCCGGTTGCGTTTTTACGTTCGTGAAATGATTGATAAGAAAATTATAAAACCAAACCAAATCAATGCTTTTCAGATATTTCAGAAAATTTATTTATATCCTCAGAAAAAAAAGATTTCTCTTTCTATTCAAATACCCCGGACTTCCTCCTTCAATACTTCAAACTTTTTGAGAGGGGCTGCGTCTTTTTTATGCCACTGCATGGAGGCTTGTTCCGACTCAGGTTCACAATTATGTACCCTAATTTCGTCTGCAGTAACTTTTCAACTCAATACATCATACTTCACTTCATTACAGAACTTCACTTTTCATTGTCGATTATGTTGCTTGGTTGACGATAGACGAAAGAAAAATCGTCTAATAACAATGAAATTTCGTATTTATGCCAATTATGAGACACTGAACACGTTCCTAACTAGCCCAATCACCCCCAAACAACCCTCTCATTATTTAACCAAGGTCAAAATCATTCCCAGAAATATAACTTTTATTACGTTCGTTGTACTAAGAACCTCTCCAAGGCTGCATTAAGAAGTTTCATAAACCTACCCACTATGATAACTGCTGTGAAAAGCTTTGCAGCGAAATCTGCTGTAAAATTGGCTTCTTTGAGTGAATTTTCTACAAAGACCGTCGGGGATAGCTCGGTAAGCGATAGGACTGGTGAACAAAATAGATGACAACCTCCCATGTCTTATCTGAGAAACAAGGTTTCAAGCCACATTAATAAAAGGTTGGATGGTGTAGAGGCCGTCGACCCACCAGCGGACAGATGAATCGAAAATTGTTGACGGAGCGGGCGTCATTATAGGAAATACCAAAGTCGTTATAAACGATGCACAGAGAAATTTACGAAAGGGCTGACAAGTGGATCGGAGGAAGATGGATTGTCATTCAAGGACATTCCGGATCGCAAAGTTCATGTGCAAAAGCACCGACGGTAAACAAATAAATTTTCTGATTCTTGCGGTTTCGAAAGGATTGCAGGGCGGTTGTTGACATAATGACTGGTCACGACCTACTGACAACACACACGAGCCGAATGGGCATTAGTGAGGATGATACATGCAGGGAGGATGGTATTACTGAGACGCTGAAACACCTCCTCTGATTCTGTCCGGCCTTATCCAGAACTCACCTTAGATATCTAGGAGCTTCGTAGTTCAAAGGATATCTGGACTCTCTTAAACTTCGAATAAAGCGTTGACGTTCCATATGACAACTACTTCAGCTCGAACTAAACTTAACATTGCTTTTGAAAGCATATTGCGAGGACAACAATGATTTGAAAAAAAAACGACTGTATCAATTGATGTTCGTGTACGAATTGCGGAATTGAAGAGCTCAGTCGAAATTCGCTGCAGCGATTATCAGGCGACATTTATTTATCTAACTACTTAATTTAGTATTTGTTGTATTTTGTTTTATCCCACAAATGAAGTGACTTACAGTTTAATGCCGATTTAATGGTAATGAAAATTTTTTTATAGCCCAGGATCTGAACTTGAGACTATTCAGCACGTAGCATATACTGCTATCAAGTCGGGTAAAACGGCTGCTTTTTATACCTCATATGTGCATAAAATAGTTTAGTTAACAATGGAAAAGGTAACAATTTCATTTTTGACCTTCTTTGATGAATTTCAAAACAACGGTTTGAACGCCGGAGACCAGCGAGGTGGCCCCCCAAACAGACATTTATTTGAGGCTCAACCGACCACCCAGGTGCAATTGGAAGGCCGATTCCAATCAGCGCGGGGTCGAAGAACTTTTACTACAACAATAGTGGCCACCAATTTGCCCCCTACGATGTCAGAAACATTCTAGTTAGAAAACAACAGTCTATCCATCTACAAAAACATCAATTTCCATTTATATAATATATGTAGTAATATACCTACATACGTGTTTATTTACGATTTGTTGAGATTATGCGATATCATACAATTATAATCGTGATAAGAGTAAATGAATTGCCGTTATTATGTTTATTTATTTTCATTATGAAACTAATGTTAAGACAAAGCGATAAATTCAAGGGCTATTTAGAAAAGCAACTTACACATTTTAATACATTTAAAGGTATGTTCTATGTGCGTATGATATTTGTGCACCTAACTAATAAAATCCAATATATTGACATAAAAACAATGCACGACCTGACCGAAAATTGAGTTGCAAAAATAATCAAAACATTGAAAAATCGTTTAAGACTATTACCATTATGGTATATGTATGAATTAGAATTGTATGTAATAACTTAATGAAGATTATATATTAGCGAAATATCATTTGATTTATTTTGTATAGCTTATGATGGTGGTACTGCCGGTGGCACGCCAATTGGAGGAATGTTTGCTGGTAGATTTGGCGGCTGAACATTAGCAGATGGTGCCACTGGTGCACTGGTTGGTATATTTGCAGGTGACAAAATTGTCTGTCCAGTGACTGTTGCGCCATCTCCAGGTGTATTTGGTAGCGGCATTGAAGTGTTTGATGAAGTGTCTGTTGTGTGATAATTATATTAATTAGTTCTTTATTGAGACTGTATGTTTTTTGTGAATTAAACTTACCCATTGGAATTGGTATTTGTTGTTGTACGGATACTGGTGCTGCACTAGCCACGCCGAGAGGAGCCGTGACGGCTTGTTGTGAATTTGCAACAGATGCTTGTGTGGTTGCGCCTTGGCTGGTCGCAGCTGAGCCTTGTGGTCCGACACTATTAACACCAGCTGTTGGAGATACGCTGGCGGCGCCAGTGTTAGATGTGCCAGAATTAATTGTTTGACCTTGGCCGGCAGGTGCGTTTCCGCCGCTACCGAGAGGAGCACTAGAATTTCCGGCTTGAGGGCCAGCACCTGTGGTGCTTGCGCCAGTAGTACCTTGCCATTGTTGTTCTTGTTGAAGGCGATGATGTGCTTGTTGACGTGCACGGAACTCCGCAGCTTTTAATTGCTCCAAATGGAATTGCTGTCGTTCGGTAATGAGTTGTTGCCGCTGATACTCCAATCCTTCACGTTCGCGCTCCATTGTTGTTTCAAGTTCTTCAAAATGGCGCAATTTTATTTCTAACTTCTTCATTTGTGTCTCAACCAGCAACGCAACCAGTGATTTTATTTTTCGTTCTTCCAATGCGGCTAAATGTTTAGCTTTAACAGCAGCCGAGGCTAAGGCTGCGGCTGCAGCGGTTTGAACATTCGCCTCGTTGAAAACTTGCTGCTTAGCAACTTCCGAGTCCTTTGAGTTTGCCTCTGTGTCCTTGGTATCTTCCGTTTTGATTTCAGTACCATCTGTTAAAAAAGTAAGAATGGAATGAAGTGTGAATTCGGTATTCAGCTTTTTTGTTATAATAAATATAACCAAAAGTACTTTTACTGTCACTTTCTGCTTTCTTTTCAGATTCAGTTTCTTTATTTAACTTCTCTGTCTTGCTATCATCGTTTGAATTCGATTTATTGTCATCTGCGATTTTGTTGAATGATAGATATGTTGCATTGTAAATTCGAATTGAGCATGCAAGGATAATCAAGACACACGAAAAAAGAATATAAGAAACGAGAATGGAAAGGTGATCGAGGACAGGTGTTGATCAGGTGCGAGCAAACGAACACAAAGCCAAAAATAAAAAAGTAAATTTTGATTGATAGTTAGATTAGAATTTTGTAGCGATCGTCTGTCTGAATCGGTGACACTGCGCACATTAAGTGAGTTTATTTAAATAAATAAACCAAAGAGCACAAAGATTCACGTGTCACCTTCTTCGAAACATCCATCATACCTGTGTTCACTGGAATGGCAGCTGCACCAGTTCCTGCAGCATGAGCGTCTTCCTCTTCTTTGTCTGCTCCTGTGCCTGCTATGCCACTGTTAGAGAGACCAAAACTTGGATTAAATTTACCTCCAGCTGAAGCCTTTTCCACGTTCTTCATATGATTATCCATTATGGTAGCGGGTACTTCGTCCTAAAATTGATTTTTGTTAGAGGTTAAAATATCAACATTACAAATATAACAATCTGATTTATATAAGACCTTTATTGCAGCAAATTCTTCCATAGCAGCCTTAGCTGCAGCTGCCGCAACGCGAGGATCAACTACTGATGCTAGGAATGCAACTGTCGACATGATGGGATTGCCAGATTTACTAAATGGTATCGGTTGGCAACCCAATGGTCCCAAAAATCCACCATCATCTTCCAAGTAGGGGTCTTCAATCGGTAGCCTTAGAAAATGTAGTATACACTCGTCTTGAGTACGGGTACCCACATGCTCGCAAACTTTATTCCAATCATCCTTATGCATTTCCAGACCTTCAAGCAAAAGCAATGTTTCCTGATCAGTCCACTCTCGTGCCATACTAGCAGCAGTTCGATTTTTCATTGCCGCCGGCTTCTTTGCATATTGGTCAAGTTTTAGGCCGAATTGTTGACCTGTATTGGTTCCATTTTCCAAAGTTTCACTTTTAATGCTAATACCACCAGGTAATAAAGCAGGTTTGTCACCCTCTATAGAACCTTCTTTACCGTCCTTCAACACTTTAGGCTTGTCCAAGTCGAGCAATGCCTTTGCTGCTGATGGTTGTTGCGTTTTCTGTGGGTTCAAAGATTGCAAACCAGAAGGGGTGTCAGATAAAATATGAAAATGAGATGTTGGTGGCGGACCCATTGGAGTTGGTCTTAACTCAGCGTCTATCTGGTAGTTAATGAGACCCCACTGTTCTAAGAAAGCATGTACACGCATTATTGCGCAAACATCTCCAGCTAGATTCCGGCGACAAGCGGTGCTGGTTAAGTACTCAGTTGGATTTAATCTAAGAAAAAAAAAACTTAATTTAATCCACGAATGAAATTATCAGTTTTTAGCTACCTGTAGGTATCTATCATAAAATTTCGATAGGCCATATAAATTTCCGGTGTTTTAGATTTATTTTTACCATTGAAAAACTCAGACATTGCACGTTTTTCAATAACATGTATAGAATTGTAGTCGAACCATGCTGAGTATGATGGCACGATAATATGATGAGTTTGCTCAGTTACGTTGTCCTCCATATCTTCTTTAGCAGAGGAAGAAAATTCCTGAGTATTACTGTTATCGCTTGTTTTGCCAGTTTGTGAATTTTCGCCATCACCTGTGGAAAGTGCCTGTACCGCGCTGCCGCCTGTCATTTCATCATCTAAATCTGTCATGGTGCCCCCTAATTATGAGGGTTGTAAACATTTAAAACCTTCTTTAAGAAAACTAAATAAAATTCAAAAATACCTTTAATTGGCATCATATCATTATCGGCACGAGATTTACCACCAGGTGCTGGGCTAGCTGTTGATTGCAAAGTTGATGACTTTACTACTTCTTGTACGTTTGGCTCTGCAGGTGGATCGTCCATATCACGAGTTAAGTCTTCATCATCCTCGTCATTGCGTACTTTCTTGTGTAATACAGCTGGTGAACGTTTACGCTTACCAGGCTTTGAAGTATTAGGTGAAGGTGAACGGCGCCGTTTTTGCTTGGTAGAGGTGCCGCTGCTGCCCGGTCCACGCTTTTTTTCATCTGTACTCAGAGACATAATGTCATCAACGGACATTCGGTGCTTATGTGTTTTCTTTTTCCCTGTTTCATCTACTTCATAGTCTTCTTCAACCATCCATTCATTATACTGCTCTAGATCTAAGACCCAACTGGCCGAAACTAACCATCCTTCAGATTGTTGTTCGGGATTTTCTGGTACATAGTCAGGCAAATCAAATGAGTTTATAGCCCAAGAATCATACGATTCGGGAAAATAATACCAATGTAACATAACATGATTCCCACGTTTGAAAACGGGACGTGCATATTCATCTGGGTGGGGATCGACAACTGGGTATATAATATGTGTGGCTTCGTCCTCGTCAGTTACAATTTCCACACGTCTGGTAAGTAAAATATCCCGCAGCTTTTGTGCCAATTCTTTATTTACTTCAGGGCGTATATATATGTAATGAATGCGGTAAAGATTTGCTTCAACGAGAGCTTGTTCGATATCAATCAGCAATTGAATGTTGGGATCTTTGCGAGGAGGGTTTTTTCCCACAGAAAAATCAAATTTCTTTCCGCGTTGTTCTGCGCGAAACCGAAACATTGTGCTAAATATGACACACAGTCCACCACCAGGTTTGAAATCCATGAATAAACGCATCTGAAAGTTGTGAAGAAATAAAATATTAATGCACATACAAATATACAAAGAAAATTTCAGGGTATTATAATCACCCTGTTTTTATGAAACTTACAGGCAGGCGAGTTGCCGGTGGTTCCTGTGCATTTTTGCCCAATTTAGCTTCTACATACTGCAAAAATTGTATTAATAGCTGAGCCAGTGATTCTCGAGTAATTGTTTCCGTGTTATTCGCTAAATACTGCGCAAAAATTCATTGAAAAATTAAAGGTATTAGTGCTTGTCGTATGCCAGCAAAGCGCCATTTTTCATCGGCTCCGCGTTGTTGTACTTACTTTCTTACAATTTTTCTGTAACCACAAGCGAATTGTTTCAAATCCTTGCAACGATTCCGGCGATTGGAAAAATTCCACATTAGGACTACCGTCCTTTTTAGGACCCAATGTATTCATATTGAAACGCAAAGGATTTTCAGAGTTCTTTGATGTGGATTTTCCCAATTAAAATTTATTTTAATGAGCCGTACAGCAATACACTCAAAATACAAGAAAAACTTTACAACAAAACCGCACTACGAATTAGTTTAAAGAAGAATGCAAAGAATCTAAAAACGAATGCCAGAAATAAGCAAAAAGTGAAACAGGGTTGTATTGATATTTCACTGTATAAAAACATTCAAATTGTAGTTGAAATGATAAACAGAATTGGGCCCGTGGATTGCTAATTATATAGAGCTCGGTTTTTATATGTAGATATATATATGTATGTAAATATATGTATAAAAATTTATAAATATTTTATTATTAATAAAATTCATTCTAATCGAAAACATCGAAAACATGCAAGATATGTGCTAGTCGACTGAAGCAAAATCAATTCAGTTTGGCACTCGGTGGTGACAACATCGGCGTAAATTTTACCTATGTGTTTTAAGGAGAATAAAAAGGGCATTTTTAACAAACCAGTCTAACTTGAATGATTTGGGAAATAATAGAGGCGTATATAACAAAATCGACACAATAGTAACAAACAAATTTGAATGCATTTATGAACAGATTAGCAAGCTGCACAAACCGGAATATATATGCAAAAAAATCTTCTCCATTCAAAAAAATTTCTTATATATGTGATGTTCAGGGTCTATTCATAACTATTTATCCTCTTTCATTTCTTTTTTTAAAATACTTAGCAACTCTATTACTTGACAACTACCGATCTGGAACTGAGCGCGACGCGCGACGCAGAGCAGCACATCGTCAACCAGCGACAGCGGCCTGCAATAAATCGCCCATCCAATCGAGAAACGCTGACAGTATAAATTTGACCGCTCAGCGAGATGGCTTTCCCAGGAAAAATTAAAAAATCGAAAAAAACAAGTGAAAAAGTGGATGTGTTTAGTGAAAAGCCAAATGTTAAATTAAAGCGTTGAAGAATAAGTGAATAATATGAGCTTTTCAAGGTAATAAGGGTTGTGATTATAGCCTGAAAATTTGTTGAAGCGGAATTAATGTGAATAGTAGTGCAAACTTGGTAGTTGATTATAGCGAGAAGCCACGAATTAGTGAAAAATCGAATGTGCGACGTAAGCTGAGGCAGCGAAGCAGGCAGAATTGTATCTAGTCGTTAGGGAAGAGGTGTAGTGCGGTCTGAAGCTGTAAAAGTATAAATTCCTGGAAATAGAGCAATGAATTAACTGTTTCCAATAATTTTTTTTATGATATAAATATGCAGTATCAGTAAAGAAAATACACGACCTAGAACGGAAACAAAGGAATACACAGGAAGCGAGTGAAGAAAAGAAGTGAAGAAATAAAAACGTCTATGCTGACGGTAGCAGAACAGCCGCAAAGCATCAAAAGTGAGAGAAAGAGAACAGCAAGGTAAGTGGCTGACGTCACAGTGGCGTTCAAATAGGGAATTTAAGAGCAATATACAATGCCTGTCAAATAATTATGAACAAAATATTGGTATTAAAAGAAATATGCGCCTCGGCAGGGAATTTCCACCCCTACGAGTGTATTTCGAACATGAAAAAAAGACTCCGTAAAAAACCATCCAACTGTTCGGAGGCGGAAAATACATCAAGACGCTAAATCACAAATTGGAGGGAGCTCGGTCGAAAAATCGCTTCAGCGATTACATAGCGCCAATTATATGTAGTTATAGAAATTTTTCGGTTGCTCCACGAAAAGTTTTTGTAGGTTGCGTTATTTTCTAATATGTGTTTGGCGACAGTGTAATTTTGACATTTCGTTACTGGCTGATTCTTCGTGAGAATTGTACAATTGTTCTAGATAACAGAATGCTTTTTACTAAAAGATCTATTCTGTCGAAGTAATTAAGTTAACTTTGGTATTAAAATTTACCCTTCAGTAAATTTTGTTACTATTTCGTATTCTGAGTTCAGTGTCACCCTGTAAGTTTTGTAACCCGCGAAATAGGAGGTAACAATCTGAGAAAAAACGAAAACCAAAGTGTAAAGGCATCCATCTGACAAGAGAGTAGATGTTCCTTTTTGTACATATTTTTAAAATCAAGGCATCCTTGCCGTTTTATTTGATGTTTATCACAAAAATGTATTTTTTTCTAACGGGTCACAGGAATGCGTTGCTAATAACTTTCTAATTGCTATGAGCTCACGTTCTGTTTCGCGATCACTGCACTATATTTCAAATTTGATTGCCAAACTAAAATCAAGAAAAACTTTCTGTCCAACAACAAATAAAATTTAAATATATATGTAAATGTGTATTCTTTTTACTTTAGCAACTGGCAAATATAATTTGACATGGACGAAAAGGCAGTGCTGTCAAAGTTATTTGAAGCAATGTAACCAGTGCGCTGGAAATTCATTTTCGGATGTTAAAAAAAAAGTTACAAAATTTACTTTACCGGTAACAGTGAGAATAGGTATGTAAGAGCTAAATAAAAGGGGAAACTTTAGTATGAGGCCGGTGGTTTTTCTTTTTGAAATGTTCAGGGTTGGTAGTGGGAGGTCTCGAATTTTCGCATAAAGTAAAATTGTGGAAGAATGTTATAGTCATTTGTTTTTGATCGAAGAAAAAAAACTTGGTATTGATTTTAAAATGCCACGTATATATGTAAATGCGACTCTGATTTCTGTTGTTATGCTCACACTCCTGCACGGGGCGCGAGTGAGCCAAATAATTTTCGCTGATAACGCAAGTTCATTCATACAGCTGTATGTATGTACTTATACATACGAGGTGTGATCAGAAAATATCCTTTTTTTTTTTCAAATTTCGTGAGTTACGTATGTTCGATTTTCGCTTATTTTCTGTTACGCTGGTACACAAGTTGGTTATATATGTTGGAAATATCAGCAATATTGGATTGCCAGTTTTTTTTTTTGACAGATAAAACGGTTAGTTATTGTTGTTGTTGTAACCGCAAATTATTCCCCGCATGCGTTACCCTAACCCGCAGGCGCTGTAGAACGGTTAGTCGTGTTTCGCTGTGCTCTTCGATTTTTTACTTTTCGAAAAAATGGATTAAAGAAATTTACTTTTGTGTAAAGAATGAATTTAAATGGCAAGGACATTTGAAATGTTGACTGTGGCATTTGGCGAATATACTATGAGCAAAACATGATATAAACGGGTTAAGGAAAGCCGAGAAGATGTGAATGATAATGCTCGTCCTGGCTGACGATATAAATATGTTGCACATTCTCTTTGTGGTTCGTTTTGCGACAGGACTTCTCGAATCGTTCTTTATCGTTGTCGGTCCCTTGATTTTTGGGTGTGTTAGTATAGGCAGCGGATATTGCATCTAACACTTAGAGAGATGATGTATTTGTTACTTAGAGTTGACATTAAAAAGCTGGGGCAGATAATGTTTCTTCTATTTTTTTAATCAATGACCATGGCGCCGTATATCTCTTTCCAAAGCGCTATAAATCCCCGCAAAAACTTGTTATTTTGATAAAGCAGAAAAAAAGTACCAGTTTATTTAAATTACCCAATTTCTGACCAATTGAATTTTAACACTTAATCAATAGCGGATCATCGAATATTACGATCTAACCTATAACGGTCTTCCTTACTTGTCAGTATGTATATGTTCTTTATCGCTGACCAGTAGGATATATTTTTATTTCGGGGAAAACTATACGAACTCTTGATAACACTAAATTTTTTTTTTTAGATGTGAAATACATCATACATACAATACATAGTACATGTACATACAATAACGATAGATTTGTTCATATGCCTATTCGTACGATCATAGTACCAAAAAGTCAGAAAATTTAAATTGAACATTAGTTTTATATTTATTATGGTCTGAATACATTTAATGCAGTTGATAAGTACTATTTGTGGTCCGCTCTACTATTATATTATATATAGAGCATCGACGAAGCGATATTTTCGTCGGAATTTCTTTCCAACTAGTAGATGAACCTACAGTGTTAAGCTCCTCCGAACAGCTGTAGCTTTTTATTTCATATCAAAAGTACCGGTATTTATAAATAAACTGCAGTATACATATCAATAATTTTGCATGGTGGTCGGACAGTGCGGCAGCCAAAATTATATAGGTCGTAAATGCATGCCCGGTCGGAATGTTGTTGCTCTCGGTGGTTAGCCTTAAGTCTTCTAAATTCTACTTATATAATTCCGACTAAATTTCTTTTTCGTAAATATAAATATACAAAAAAATTTTCCAGAGGTTATTTATGCATTGCAAAAGTGACGGAGCTCAATTGGAATATGAGCTACATACTTTTATCTACACATCACGTGTTTCAATACTTTTAGATAAATTTGAATATGTACCTGATGATTTGAAAATTTCTCAAAATAACAAAAGTAGGAATTTCAAACTAATTCTGAATATCATTTAATAACATTTAACTTTCGGCACACATTTGGTGAGAAATGTTAGTATAAATTAGTCAGTAACGAAATATCAAAATTGTGCTCTCCGGTACTAGTAGTACTGGCCGGTAAAAATTGGTAGCAGTTGTTGATGCCCATCAGCTCCCGTACAGGACTAATGCCTGAGGAGAGTTGTGGTTTCGATTTCAGAGCAGCCTATTATCTAAAATAGCCGCTAAGGTGACCAGTTGACCTAAACGAGGTGCGTGGAACCTAAGAGCCGACTAAAGTCCGATAGTTTCCGCGACAGTCAGATCCTTATAATGAAATGACTCGAATTTTTATCCGGCCAAGGACTGTCACCCCGCAAACCAATTCGTGGAATATTTTACAACAACAACTACCACAGAGATCCGAGTAATACGGACACATTGTAGTCGAATCAGCTCATACTTCCAGATCTGACTCCTTAGTACGCCAAAAAGCCAACTCTTAAGTCTAACACCCTTCTCTCCCTCTGGTCAGAACCCGTTTCATGGATATCCGTTAGATGGCGTTGATGACTTAGACTGACTTTTTTTTAGGAGTTATAGCCGCCACAATAACAACCTTACATGTAAATGAAATGTCCCGAGCCCAGGGACATGTTAATATGCATACATACATATATGATACATAGATATATAAATTTTGTAAGAATTTGTTGAACTACATACATATTTATCTATAATTTTCGTTGTTACAGAGGCAGAAAAAAGGGCAAAAGAAGGACGGAGAGGCACTAGGCAGAATTTGATTCTTCCGCTTAACTCCAACAACGCATATAGACAATAATCAATACATGGACACCATCATACATTTACATGCAGTCGTAATATAATACATATAAGCAAACATATATACATATGTACATAAGCACATGCACATAAATGCGTAGAGTTATCATTATAACAATCACAAATATAAAGAGTTAAAGTCTGGCCAAAAAACCAAAGAACGTTCCATCGGAGGCATAAGCAGAGCAGAGCAGATGCTTTATGCCTTGGGGAAATTTGATATTTTAGCTATAAAAAACCTAACACAATTGCAACGACTCAACTAGTACAACAGCAGCACACACATTGGCCGATAAAAATCGAAAAGACTTTGTCGTGACATCAACAGTAGAGCAGAATTAAGCCAACGGAATAGCACAATCCTCACAAGCGAAAAACGAACAATGACATCTCGGTAAATACATACGTACTAATATTTATAATATATGTACATGTATTCTTATGTATGCACAAGAAGCAACTGTGTAAACTTAAGCATACATATAAAGATATATCTATATACAATATGTACATATTTACATACAAAATTATATTTCGGCCGCTTGGCAAATATAGAGCACGTTTATATACTCATATAATATATACATACATATGTATTTAAGTACCAGCAAAGCTAATTTTATTATTCGTCTCTGTGTCTACATACATATATGTATGTATATATATATATAAATACATGTGTACATATATATATAAGTTCTACCAAAATTTTAATATTTCCCGCTGAACTCCTTATTTTTCACTTTGTTCCAACTTTGATTTTAATTTCACAATTTTTCATTCATATTCCAACCAATTGCAGATTGGATCGCCTCTTCATATTGCTAGAGTCTGGCTCATCGGCTGTGACGCGTCGTGCTGCAGCGAAACAAATTGGCGAGGTGCAGAAATTGTATCCCCATGAATTGCATGCTTTGCTGAATCGCTTAATCGGATACTTGCATAGCACTTCGTGGGATACGCGCATTGCCGCCTCACAAGCAGTCGAGGCGATATTGCAAAATGTACCCTCTTGGAATCCAGAAATATACGCGGCCATTAAAAGGGAAGCCATTAAAAAAGAGAAAGACCGAGACGATAATCAAGCTGTTGGAGGTGGTGTTGGTGGTGGTAGTGTTGGTGAGGAGGATAGTTGCCAGTCGGTGGCCACAAGTGCCACTACATCTAGCGAACAAAGCTGCAGTCGAGAATTGCAGCAGCGTGAGCGCCTATTATCGTTTGCGGATTTCGATTTGGAGCAAATATTACATAAAGGCGCACGTCTTATCGGTTCGGAGGGCATTGAATTCGATTTGAATGGAAGTGAGTCGCCCACAGCTGAGGGAGGCCTGAATGCAAACACTTCTGCTGCTGAGAGACTGAGTCGACAGCGCGCACTACTAAATGAGAAACTGGGACTAACGCAAGCATCCAAGTTGGGCGTCAATTTGATGGATATGATAACCGATGAAGATGTAATGGGATCCAGTGCAGGGAGCACATATAATGCTAATGAAGAGAAGGTATGTGCTAAGTAACATATGGGGGAGAAAGTAAGTTTTTATGAATTCTTATTTCATTTTTATATACAAAAGTAAATTTACATACATACCTGCGCGCAGAAGAATAGTTTACTGTTATATGTATATATTGAAACAGAATTGGCGTCTTTAGCTAGACCCTTATGGAATTTATCAGAGGTGCCTGTAAAAAAAAGATCTATAAAATTTGTCTTCACCTGATGTGTATTTTTAATTGTGCACGTATTTTCTAGTCAACAATATAATATGCACCATTTAAACATCGAAGATCAATACTCCTATATATTTGTACATACATACATATGTACTTATCTACAAATGTATTTAGGAATTTCCGGTTAATATATATACATATAACGTTATTACTTTATGACACGTTCTTTACGTACATATGCATATACATATGTATATACATATATTTTTTCATGCTATATATTAGGTCAAGTAAAAAGTTCGTTCGTTTTTTATTTAAGAGATGGCGTTATTTTCTATAGTACTAGTGTTACGTGTCCCAGCATGTCATACTATACGGCGCTGAAAACGTATTTATTCGCGCTAAAAGCTTGTCCTTGACAGTTTTTGGATTGATTGACTCAGTACGTTGTGAGCGCTCTTCAAAGATGGACACCATCAAAAAGGAAATTCGCTTTTAGTTTATGGGCCCGCTACTGTAAAAGAACGTGTATCACAAAAGTGGTTTGTTAGGTTCCGTTCCGTTTCGATATCAAAGAGGCACCACGCGTCGGGAGGCCTGTCGTCGAAAATTGCGATAAAATCATGGAAATAGTGGAAACAGACCGTTACGTGAGCACTTATTTAATTGCTGAGGGGCTAAAGATAAGCCAGCAAACAGTTTGGAAACATTTGCATAACCTTGGATTCAAAAAGAAGCTCGATGTTTGGGTGCCACACGAACTAACGCAAAAAAAAAAACATGATGGAACGAACTTCCATTTGCGAATCGCTGCTCAATCGCTACAAAATCGACCCGGTTCTGAAGCGGATTGTGACTGGCGATGAAAAATGGGTCACTTACGACAACATCGAGCGCAAACGGTCGTGGTCAAAGCTCGGGGTAGTGGCCCAGACAGTGGCCAAGGCCGGATTGACGGCCAGCAAGGTTTTGCAGTGTATTTGGTGGGATTGGCAAGGAATCATCTACTACGAGCTGCTGCCCTATGGCGAAACGATCAATTCGGCCCTCTTGAAGGCAGAGCTCTTCCATAAGAGGCCATCTTTGATGATTAGAGGCCGAATTGTGTTCCATCACGGCTTTGGTGACGCGCCAGAAGCTCGGATGAGAGGTCCTATGTACCCACCTTATAGTCCGGACTTGGCACCAAGTGACTATCATCTTTTTCTGTCTATGGCGAACGGGTTTAATGGTGAGAAGTTTGCCTAAGGGGAGGCCTGTGAAAATTGGATCTCCGAGTTTATCGTCAATAGGGACGCAACCTTTTACGAGAGGGGTATAATGAAGTTGCCATCTCGTTGACAACAAGTTGTTGAACAAAACGGCGAATTGTGACTTAAATAGGACAAATGTACCCAAAGTTATAATATTTTGAAAAATCAATAAAAAACTGAACGAACATTTTACTCGACCTAATAAGTACATACTTATTTATATATCTATATTCTATGTATATAAAATTGAAAAAAGAAAAAAAGTATTGTGCACATTAGATAAATTAACTAGTTGATAAGCACAATCGGTTATCATGAGAGAAACCGAGGTATTACTGTTGCAACTTAGGTCTGGATACTATTGCAGGTTAAACCCCTACTTATCCAGACTTGACCCCAACATACCAAACGTATGTATGTCTTGCATGTTTGGTCCGAACCTGTCGAAGCAGGGATTAGCGAACCGCTCCAACAATAACAGAAAAGTCTGAATCTTACCTGTTGACTTATACGGGGTTAGATCGCCGAAAGGCTGACAGCTCTTGGCCGGATAAAACCGGTTCAACTGCGATACGTAGAGTCGTTAGACTAAGTATTGCAACCGCTTCAACAACAACAACAACAGAAAAATCTGAACTATACATAGGCACTATTTGGTCGTTTAAATCTTCTTCGTGGCTTCAAATACCAAAGCAAAATTTATAAAATACAAAATTAAACAACAATTTTACTGACTGGAGAATAATAATCTCGAGATGTTGTAGAAACTATTTATGAAAAATCAATTTTTTTACGCTATGAAACCCATATAACCCCTTAAATCGAGTGTTTCACACCAAGTAACGGAAACTCTCTAAAATCGCTTCGCTGTACTTATTTTACGACGTTTTTCTTTTATATACATAGGTGCCTGTTGAGGATATACTCAATATAAAGCCAAATTCAAATTTGATTCCTTCCAATGGACAACAATTAAGCTGCCGAGAAATGAATCGAGCCAAGCGTAAGGCACGCCAAAACACTACAACAAACACGTCCGTAAATAATCTGAGCCGTAGTAATAGCAGCAACACCAGCAGCGGCATCGGAAGCAGCTGCAAAAATGGTTCCAGTACGGCTGATGAACCGGAGCGCAAGAAATTTAAAGCAGATGCGCTGCAACGTCAAGAGATTTTCTATACATTGAGCGGTGAGTGCTTGAAAATGCATATTTAAATCGCATTTATTCGTTATTTAAAAATTATAATGTGATTATTTTATTGTTAGATCCCGTCCCCGATGCAACTGGTATGTGGATAGATGCTGTCAATTGGCCATTGGAAAATTTTTGTGCGCGTCTATATGTTGATCTCTTTAATCCGAAGTGGGAGGTGCGTCACGGCGCTGCGACTGCATTGCGTGAACTGATCAACAATCACTCTAACGGTGCTGGGAAAAGCATCGGCATGGCGCGAGAAGAAATGGAGCGACAACATAATCTTTGGATGGAGGATGCTGCCTTGCGTTTGCTTTGCGTACTCTGCTTGGACCGTTTTGGCGACTTTGTATCCGATCAAGTGGTTGCGCCAGTACGAGAAACTTGTGCGCAAGTTTTAGGCACTTTGGTCAAAGAAATGCATGCAGAGCAAGTGCATCAAATCGTCAAGGTGTTATTGAAATTGTTAAAGCAGGAAGAGTGGGAGGTGCGTCATGGTGGACTGTTGGGCTTGAAATATGTTTTTGTAGTGCGTGAGGATCTATTGCCAGTTTATGTGCCGCAGACAATCAATGATATATTGTTGGCATTGTTCGATGCTGTCGATGATGTGGGCGCTGTTGCTGCATCAACTTTGATACCCATTGCAACGTGGCTGCCGAAACTATTGAATTCAGCGCAAGTTTCGTCGATTGTGAAGATGTTGTGGGATCTACTGTTGGATCAGGATGAGCTAACTAGTGCGTGCAATAGTTTCATGGGATTAATGGCAGCAATTTTGTCCTTACCAAATGCGGGATTTTGGATACAGTAAGTGATACTTAATTAAGCAGATTATTTCATGATTGTAATCTTTTTTCATTTGTCTTTTTTACTTGTAGAATGGAACCAATGTCAACTCTAATACCACGACTGTGGCCCTTTCTATCCCATAGTACTAGTTCTGTACGCAAGTCCACTTTGCTAACGCTTCAAACGCTTACTGCCAGTAATGTAAAAATGGAGAATAGTGAGCCTGCCGATATCAATGTGCCCACCACGAGCTCCGGCACCAGCAATAACGGCAACGGTGTGAAAGTTCCGAGCATTGAATCGCCTAATGATTTAAGCTCTGCTATCACCATTAATTTCGATTCTAAAAAATTGAATTTAAATTTGGGTGTTATTGATTGGCAGTGGAAATTATTGCAGGATACCCAACGTTTCATTTTTGAACGTATTCTAGTCGAACCTCAGGCCGATATACAGGAGATGTCAATTAAAGTATGGAATAATCTGTTGCAAAATGCTGATTTGGGCGCATTATTGCACGCTGCTTGCCCTATCGTATCGTCGTGGATTTGTTTGGCTATGCAACCACCACGACTTGCTTTCGATGCTTCTACATTAATACATACCACGTCTTTATCATGCAGTTCAAGCGGCCCATCAACTGATAGTGCCTCACACATGTCCGCTCGGCGACGTACACAACGTATTGCTGACGACTTGGGTGTAAACTCTTCGCCAGCAATGCAAAGATATTTTCTTGGCGGCAATGAGGCTACACCACAAGAAGTTCGTGACCGCAATGTGGTGCGTGCGCGCGTCACTGCGGCTCGAGTACTGGGTGCACTTTCAAAGTATTTGGTGCAGCCGGCACCGGGGGTTGTCTATACGCCGAATATGGAATCACCTATGGACTGTTATACAAAAGTGCTGATGGGTTATTTGAATTCGCGATCAGCGGTACAGCGTATTGTGTGTGGTAAGTTTGTGACACAAACATTTTATCCCAAAATATATATATAGATATTCTTTCTGTTACACCCACCCCCATCGTATATTTGTATAGGTCTCATCATAGCTTTTTGGGCGCAACTAGATCCATCGATGCGCAAAGCTGCACCGAAATTAGCAGAAAAATTACGCGCATGTGTAATGGAATATGTTTATTATGACGAAGTCGCCGTTTTATTTACCAGGTAAAAACGAATTTCATCGAAATGCCATATTTTTTGCTCAGATCAATTTTCTCTTCTGCAGACTTCACCAAGAGGCTCAGGATCTTATCGCTACATTAAAACAATATAAGATACCCATAGATTTCACCAATTCAAGAGTACTCACATTAGATCAAATAGAGGCTGTTGCCACTACTCTTACTGCAGGTCTGCACGAGTATGGACTTAAACAAAAATTGCTAGACACACTAAAAGAGAGGAGGCGTGGTCTGCAGAACTCTTTTGCTCAGACATCGACGGAGCAATGCGTCTTTAATATAAGCACTCAAGCGGCTTTAGCCGGTGCTATTGTTTGCATGGAATGCTTGCCAGAAAAACTGAATCCGGTGGTGAAGCCACTGATGGAGTCTCTAAAGCGAGAAGAATGTGAGTTGTTGCAACAACTATCGGCGGAATTTCTTGTACAGCTAATGCATCAAGTGTGTGATAGAAATCCTAGTCCCAATAGTAAAATACTTACTAACTTATGTACGTTATTGAAGAGTGATTCTCAGTTTACACCTAAAATTGTGAGTGAAATAGTTGATTGTTTATAATACTATGAAAGTTGTACTTAGTTTTTAAAACATTTATGTATGAATTTTGTAGACTTTAAGCCCAGTAACTTTAAAAGATACACCAATACCCAAGACTGCGGCAGCCACTCACAGTTGCGTTTATTATGGCATTTTAACATTGGATCTTCAACAGAATAATATGCAAATTGGTGGCACTAGTAACCGAAGTAATTCAGCTGGTGGTGCTGGCAGTACACCTCGTGGTCCAGGTAGACCGCCCTTAAGTGAAGTGCTTATCAGAGCGGAATTTGATATCAATCCAGCCAATTTGGCGGTAAGTTATTTGCAAAATATTTTTTTTTATACTTTACTTGAAACTCAATATATATTTTTTATTATGATCGTTATACTTGAATAGGAATTGAAACAGAATCGTATCCAGCGTCTGGGTGCATTTTGTGCCATATCAAAAATTTGCTCAAGCTTCAAAAATGAAACTTTTTCCAAAATACCAATTTTCGAGCAAATAATTTTTGTGAAAATTGAGCAATTTACGACTGACTTCCCAAATATGGATGCATTATCGGATGCGCCATTAGATTTAGCACAAACGAATGATTTAATGACATCCTTACAATTGATTGAAGTTGTAGCTCCACATTTTTTGGAATTCGCTGATGATGCCTCAACCATAGATGATTCATTGAAACGACTTTTTAATTTGCTTCCACATTTCCGCATACTGATTACACATCCATTGAAAGCGGTAAGTAGTGAAAAATATACCTAAGATATTTTTTTTGCGCAAACTCAATCTGCTTGCGTAAAATTTGTCCACTACAAGTGACTGACTACATCAAGAGTACAATTCGTGTACATTACGCCGGGGGTTATAAATATATTTCAGATGTTAATAGAAAGATAAATGTTTAATGTCCGTAGCACCTCCATTGGAATCGTAATTAGTTTTACCTTGAGATCGCAGATCACTCAAAAAACGATAATTCAGGAAACTACAGAAAAGTAGTGAATAAGGGAAACAGACGACGTTTCCCGCCTCTTTTTTTCTCTTTATTTGACCGATATTAACCAGCTAAGACTTGAACAAAACTTAACTGTTTACAACTGAGTGTTGAAATATACAATTTTTACACATCCTAAAATTTGGTTTGTTTGGCAACTTTACCCCCGTTAACTAACTTGTTCTTGTTGTTTTTAGGTGCGTCACATGGTAGCACGTTGTATTGCTGCGCTTGCAGTGACTGATTTGGTGCGCACTATGTTCTTTGTGCTGGACGAGCTGCTGGGCATGTTGGCCAACATAGAGAGCGTGATACAGCGTCAAGGTGCGATTGAGACTATCGACCGTGTGGTTGACAAACTACAATTGGGTATTGTACCCTACATTGTACTTCTAGTCGTGCCATTATTGGGTGAGTATGCGTGAGACAATAAGTACATGGCAGTTCATAAATGTATTTAATTAATATATTTATTCATTCCTCACCGTTCAGGTTGTATGAGTGATCCCAACGAATCTGTACGTCTGCTCTCCACCCACTGTTTCGCTGCACTTATTCAACTTATGCCGTTAGATTCACGTAGCAAATCAATTAAAAATGAAATACCCTCCCCGGAGCTGCAGCAGCGTAAAATACGAGATCGTGAATTCCTCGATTACCTCTTCACACCAAAGAGCATACCAGACTATAAAGTACCAGTGCCACTCTCCGTAGAGCTACGTTCATACCAACAGGCAGGCGTAAATTGGTTATGGTTTCTAAATAAATACAATTTGCATGGCATACTTTGCGATGACATGGGTCTCGGTAAGACTTTACAAACCATTTGTATACTAGCCGGCGATCATTATCAACGCGCTAAAGATAATGCACCTGCACTGCCTAGCTTGGTGATTTGTCCTCCTACTCTTACTGGTCATTGGGTTTATGAGGTGGAAAAATTCCTAAATAAATCAGATGTTTTGCGTCCACTACACTATGTGGGCTTACCCGTTTGGCGTGAAAAACTCCGTTGTCAAATCGGTCAGTGTAATTTGATTGTTGCCTCATATGATACTATTCGAAAAGACATAGATTTCCTTAGCGGCATACATTGGAACTATTGTGTTTTGGATGAAGGGCACATTATAAAAAATGGAAAAACCAAAAGCTCAAAGTCCATCAAGATGCTCAAGGCTAAACATCGTCTGATACTCTCTGGTACACCCATTCAAAATAATGTGCTTGAACTGTGGTCGCTTTTCGACTTTTTGATGCCTGGTTTCCTCGGCACTGAAAAGCAATTTGTTGCGCGCTACAGTCGTCCCATAATAGCGGCGCGCGATTCAAAGAGCTCCTCCAAAGAACAAGAAGCTGGAGTGTTAGCCATGGAGGCATTGCATCGTCAGATGCTGCCCTTCCTGTTGCGTCGTGTGAAAGAGGACGTCTTGACCGATTTACCACCAAAAATTACACAGGATTTATTGTGCGAATTAAGCCCGCTGCAGGAGCGCTTATATGAGGACTTCAGTCGTACGCATTTGAATTCACATTTGAAAGATTGTTTGCAGAATTTGGGCGATAATGAGGACATTAGCAAAAAAGCACACATTTTCCATTATTTACGTTATCTACAGAACGTGTGCAATCACCCGAAGCTGGTGCTGACGCCAAAACATGCAGAGTATATTAACATCACACAGGAGTTGCGCAAAAAGCAAAGCTCACTGGATGATATAGAGCACTCCGCTAAATTGCCAGCTCTGAAGTAAGTAAATTTATTTAATGAAATTATTTCGGTTTAATATATCTATTGCTTTTGTTGTGTGTGTTTAGACAACTACTGCTCGATTGTGGCATTGGCGTGCAAACAGAATCGGTCAGCCAACATCGTGCATTGATTTTCTGTCAACTGAAAGCCATGCTGAATATAGTGGAACAAGACTTACTGCGCAAACATTTACCATTCGTTACATATTTGCGTTTGGATGGCAGCGTGCCCGCGTCCATGCGACAGAATATTGTGAACAACTTCAATACTGATCCGAGTATCGATGTATTACTACTCACCACACAGGTAATTAACTTAGTATTAGCAATATTGTATACGGTCTGTAATAATTTCGACTTTACTCCACATTTAGGTTGGTGGTTTGGGTTTAAATTTGACCGGCGCTGATACGGTAATATTTGTGGAACACGATTGGAATCCAATGAAAGATCTACAAGCCATGGACCGTGCCCATCGAATCGGCCAGAAGAAGGTCGTAAATGTTTACCGTTTGATTACGCAAAAAACACTTGAGGAGAAAATAATGGGTTTGCAGAAATTTAAAATACTTACGGCGAATACGGTGGTGAGTTCGGAGAACGCCTCAATGGATACAATGGGCACAGAACAGTTATTTGATTTGTTCAATGGAAATGGCGAAGGCAAAACTGATGCAAGTGGTGCGCCGACAACCACTGGACCGATGTCGATGAATGCGATTATAGAATCATTGCCTGACCTCTGGTCGGAGCAGCAATATGATGAGGAATATGATGTATCGAACTTCGTGCAGTATTTGAAAAAGTAGTCGGAAATTCGCGGAAAAATCGAGAACATTTAATGAGAGTGGAGTGGAGAAACGCTGTATAAGAATATACAGAAATATTCAATATGTATGGATTCCAGATGGAAAATACTTCCAGCCATCTTTGACTTAGAGTAGCATTACTTTTATGATAAGTCTTTGGGCTACACCATTATATCATGACCTATCGCTTTTCTATCATATCAAACATCTTAACAAATCTAGTTTAAGTTTAATTTTAAATACATATGGAAAAGTGAAATTTTCTTTTTCATATTGGCATATGTAGAAGTGCAGGCCTCGTTTGTATTTTCAGACAGTATGGAAGATTAAGTTCGTCACTTGCCAGTCGGCGCCATAGTTTTAACGTAATGTTTTGATTTTTAAATTTATTTTAGAGAACATTTTGAACATTGTTGTTATACATTATTGACGGCCGAAATAGTTGAGTGTTAAGCAGTGCGTGTCGAGAGCAAGAGAGGCATAATTTGTTTGAGCCTCGATCAACAACAGTTACCGCTTAGCAGGATGTGTCATTTCCGGCATGAAATTAAACTAAAAACGTCAATACTTATATTTATTTTATGTATTACAATATCATTTTAAAATCTTTACAATCTTTCGTAGTTGTATTAGTATTTAAATTCATTAAATCTATTTTTGTAAACCAAATTTGAACTTGAAAAATGTAACTCTTATAAGGCTACCATCTGAAATAAAAAAACAACTGAGTAAAAAGTATAACAAAGCATTATTTATTATTTAGTTAATATTTTTGGTTCTTAGCTTCTTTTTCATTGACACCATTCACCAATAGCGCACCATTCGATCCTTTTCTTTGCTGTTTGCGTCAGCTCGAAATACGGAGTAAAGGTCTTCCTCTTCCTCTGCTTTCATCGGCTTGTATTGCGTCGAATACTTTCAGAGGGGTAGCACTTTTGTTTATTCGGACGACATGACCTCGCCAGACCTGGAATAAGAAGCTAAATGCCTGCCAAAGCACCGCCTTCAGGTTCGTGATAGAAAATCTTCTGTTGTCGCCAGAACATCGATAGCACAGCGAAGCATCTATGCTACGAGTTAAAGTGAAGTATGCTTTGCTGTGCAAAAATTTATGCTGGTTTCCTGCCGTAAGGAGCACCTCAACAGACACTTAGGCATATCAGAAATAGAATACTCGGCTTCAAAGACGACATTAACTCCCACCTACAACAACCGCTCGACAAGACGTCTTACTGCCAGGCATTAAACGTCATTCACCGAGAGCCTCCCAATATTTTCCTGAACTCTCTTCCAGTGAATGTTGTTCTCCGAGTCAATCCACGACCTGTTGAAGGCGAAGATCTGTTCTTGTTGCTGTTGTAGCTGCAAAATATTGCGGCAGTGAAAGTCCTTGGCCGGATAAAAATCCTGGTCGTTCCGGTATAGAAACACGACTGCTACGGGAAACATTGGATTTTAGTCGCCTCTTACGACAGGCATGCCGCACCGCGGGTAAATTCTTGAGCCCCTAACCCGCAGGGGCTGTCGCTTTATAGCAGCCGTAGCTGAGAGTGTACAAGAAAATGGACGCCATTCGCAGCAACTCTGAATGTCGTATGGAGCGATTTGTCTCATTTTAAGTCGAGATCTTGAATTGAAAGCGAACAAAATACAGCTTGTGCAAAAATTAAAGATACTTGAACTTCTCAAACGACATCACGTGCCAAATATTGTTCAGCGCTGAGACTTATTTCTGGCTCAATGGGTATGCTAATAAGCAAAATTGCCGCATTTGGCACGAAGAGCAATGTGAAGAGCTTCAAAAGTTGCCATTTCAACTAGAAAAAAAAACAACGGGTTGGTGTGGTTTGTGCCTGTAGAAACATCTGTGATCACTGCGACATTAAGCTTCAATAAGACGGCGCCGCTTCCCATACATCGCATAGAACAATGGATTTATTGAGAGAATGCGCCGGTGAGCAGACAACTTTACTTTTTGGGCCCTTCGTTTGGCCATCAAGATCGTGTGTAAAGCCTTGGAGCAAAACATCACGCGTTTCATGCGCCATCTACCAGTTGAATGCTGGAACGAGTCATACAAAGTTGGACTCAACGGATGAACCATCTGAGATGTAGCCGCGGCCAACATTTGATAGAGAAAATCTACAAAAATAAATGCCGGAGAATGTTTTTTCGAATGAAAATAAACAATCCCCATTACATTTGAATTTTCTTGGTTTTTTTTTTTTTAAACCTAAATGGATCACCCTTTAAATACATACATATGTATATACATACATGTATGCTTGCAAACCACTTTGTGTTGTAAGAATTCGAAAACATGAGTATAAAACATTCTTCATCCCGATGCGTCACAAAGAAATATGCTCTCATAAGCCTCCAGTATGCGAGTATGAATTGCACCACAACAATCTTTGATAAGAGAGCTCAAGAGCGGTGAATCCACTGATAACACTATAATGGAACCCATAAAAATTATTGTCTTTTATTATGTTGTATTTGTGTATATGTGTATGGGCGTTTGTGTTTCGGTAGCATACCAACCTTTGTCGTCGTTTTTAAACTCAGAAACATTCAATTTGAAGCTTTCGATACAATCAGGCGGAGCAGTTTGTGAACAAAAAGTGACATAAGGATGTTTTTTTTCTTTTGTTTCATTTAATTTTTGCGTGAATTCAAAGATGCTGTCGTTTTATGTACGCCGCCGCGTTCTATTTTGCTTTGCTTTTTTGTCTTATTTTTATATTGATTCAGTGTTTGGTCATGGTATGATGCTTGATCCGCCGGGTCGTTCTTCTCGTTGGCGCTATAATTCTTCCGCGCCGGTAAATTACGATGATAACGGATTGAATTGCGGTGGTATGACTGTAAGTGTAGACGAAGGATGATAATTAACTGACGGGCGGAAACAAAACACGTTCACATACACTGTGTGATTTCAAAAGAGAGTAGCAGTTTGCTTGGTGTTTTTTAATGCAATAAAATTATTTTTTTCCTATCGTCACTTAATGACACATATTTGAATGATCGTCGAACTTAGTGTAGCCGAGTGGTTAGGATTGCGTACTGCCATTTGAAAGGTCCGGGCTCAAGTCCTGGTACGAACAACATCGAAAAGTTATAGAAAATTAATTTAAATAAAAAATTAAGTTAAACTTTGTAATTGCGGTCGCCCCTCGGCGGGCAGTGTCAACTCCTTCGAAAAAAACCTTAAAAAGCCATCAGCCGCTTGGAGGCGGCTTAGTATAAACTGTAGGTCCTTCCATTTGTTGAAAAAACATCAAGATGCAAAACCACGAAGTGGAGGACGAGTTCGGCCGAAAAATCGCTTCAGCGGTTACAAAGCGCCAATTATTAAGTAATATATACCAAATCCAGTTTGAACTATGGATCATACTAACGAATCCAAGTTTCATCTACTGCTACAACGCGGTTGCAAATTTCATCCAAATTATCTTGGCACAATTCAAAAAAATCTTTAAAACTCTTCGATCGTTGCTGCTTGTAGAGCGGCTAGAGCATTCGCGGTACTCAACGCGCACTATTTTTTTCATATTCAAACCCGAAACCTCTCCATCTCGTTCTTTGCTAATTTGTAATCCGTCTGTTATCTGCCATAATTTTTCGACTTCCTGAACATTTTCTTCGATCATGACGTCACTAGGCGCCCCGGGTGGGAGTCAGCTTCACGCGCCTCTCTTCCTTATTGAAACAGCCGAGCATATTTTTTTACCATGGTATATAAAGAACCGTTAACATTTCGGCGCTCTTCCTTTTTTACATAGTGCTCCAAATCGCAAGAATTTCCAGTTTCCGTTAGCATAGCGTTGTTGCGTGTACCAGGAATAAAATTTTAATGAATCAAATAAAAAAGTTTTGTTATTTATACTAAAAATAAGTCCCTCAATTATTATTATTAGTAATGAGATGACCTTGGGTCGCTCCTCGTAGGACATGGTCGTGCTTCTATTCATCGAGAGTTGCGCTATAGAGATCTGATTGCAGCTTGGTTGCTGCCAGAGCATACAGTAATAGTATTGCAAGTGATCGTTGAACTAATCAACCTTTGACATGATTACAGTAAGCACCGATTGGAAGACGATGCTGGGGTCCGTAAGTCCCATGATCCAGTTGAGAGAGCGCGATGAAGATTGGATATTTCTAATTACATACGAGTGTATTCGTTTCTAAGCATGAGATATCAGCCCCTCCAAGTGTATTTCTGTTTTGAAATAAAATGTCCTCTTAAAAATTCATCAGCCGTTCGGAGACCCTTAGAGTTGGTTAGAGTTGGTAAAGCATGTAATTGCGGTCGCCCCTCGGCGGGCAGTGTCAACCACTCCGAAAAAAACCATCAGTCGCTTGGAGGCGGCTTAGTATAAACTGTAGAACCTTCCATTTGTTGAAAAAAACATCAATAAATTGGAGGAAGAGCTGGTTGAAAGTCACTTTGCAAAGTTATTTGTTTGTTCCCAGCAAAATTAATTATATAATATATGATTTCTAAGCCGTCTCCTAACGGCGGGCGACTTTTTTACAAGGAGTCTTTATTTCATGTCCAAAATACACTCGGAGGGGTGGACATTCCCTGCCGAGGCGCGACCGCAATTAGAAAATTTAACTTATTTTTATATTCTTAATTAAATTTTCATAACTTTTGGATGTTGGTGGCATCGGGATATGAACCCGAGCCTTTCGAATGTCAGTACGCAATGCTAACCACTCGGTTACCGACTTTACGTCGACGTGAAAGTTAAGACGCTGGTGTTTTTTGCTGCCAAAAATATTTGGGTCAATACCAGGTAGATTAGCCTCTCTTGCTTGTCCGTTTTTCTTTGATGGATGAAAGAGCTTTATAAAATTCCATCTTCTACACTCGGGTTTCGGCGAGCTTCTCCTCTTTTATGTTAGGTATGACTCAATGTTTTCTAACTTTTGTTGGTCATATAGTAGCAGTGCATCTATTTTTTAGAGAGCAAACTTGATTTTGATTTTAAGTTGCAAATTCTCTTTACATCTAATCCGATTATTCCAGGTGCAATGGCAGCAAAACAATGGCAAGTGTGGTCTGTGTGGCGATAATTATGCAGCGAAGATGCCACGAGCCAACGAAATCGGTGGATATTATGGTGGTGTTGGAGTAATAACGAAATTTTTTCGCGGCACTTTTACGATTAGGGTGGGTGTACGCATCACCACCAATCACTTGGGCTACTTTCGCTTCGATCTATGCGATTTGAAACAATTTGGCACTGAATCTGAAGATTGCTTCAAGAAGTACGAATTACGATTTGTCGACGGTTCCGATCGTTTATACATTGGCACCACAGCGGGTTGGATTGCGGCTGATATTGTTTTGCCTGATCGTTTGAATTGTGAACATTGTGTGCTGCGTTGGACTTATACTGGCGGTGGGTTTCGAAAGTCATAATTTCTAAATCAATGAATGTTCATTAAGACTAGAATGCTTCCGGAAATTGTCATTTACATAAACTGCCCAAGCTGAATATTTTGCAGTCCTTTTTTTTAAGCTAAGTGTTTGCTACCGACCTCAGTCCCCACTGCGAATTTAATTTTACGCCCTCAATTGAGTCGACTAGAGTTCGGTGAATACGGTGGTTGGTCGATGGTATTGAGCGAGTTTTTGAGCTTAAAATCGTTCACAACTACAGTTCGGTGCGATGGCACGTTATCGTCATGAAAGTTTCCCGAAAATGGTTGGCCCACAATTCCGTCCGTTCATAACGGATGTTTTCGCGCAACCGCCTCAAATAATATTTCTTATGATCGGCTGTCTCGTTGGAACGAATTCATAATGAACCAAACCGAGAATATGGAAAAAAATTATAACAATTCCCGGAAGCTATCTGGTTTTAATGTATACACTTACACATATAATGCTTTGTTTCAGGCAATAATTGGGGCCCCTGTGGTAATGGGACCAGCGCTTTGGGATGTGGGCCACAGGAAACATTTGTGAATTGTGCTGATGTGAGTATTGCATCAGCAGCTAACCATCGCGTATACCTGTCTCGTCCGTGGCCAGAAGTTCGTTCGTTAGAAGTGCTTGTGGACTCAGAGGTACCAGAATTCTACAGGCAAATATGGCTTTATAAAAAGCGTGTTGGATATATATAAATTGTGCGTCGTTGCACTCTGTATTAAATTATTTTCGAATGTTTACGAATATATGTACATATGTGTGTGTACTTACTCTTAACTTACGTGTAAATATGAAAATTTCCTTTCTCTCAAATACATATTTTTAGTTTTATTATTATTTTTATTATAATTTATAAGCTATTGTATGTTATATTATTGCTTGCACATCTTAAGCAAGTAGGAAGTGAGCCTGGGGTCGATTCAATGGTTTGGATCCCATCTCGCTTCTCGGAAGAAAAAGGGGTTTTTCAATGGTAATTTTAGGCCGTAACTACTACTCTACCAAATTATTAAATGAATCAAACGATAATATAAATTTTTCGATGGGCCCCAGGTCCACTTCCCGGGAGAAAAGGTGTTCCCCATATCAATACAGGCAAAGAGTTGCCTGCGTACCAAATTTCATGTATTTATATCAAACTTGGTAAAAGTAAACTCCAATTTTGTTGAAAGGATCGTTTCCACGGACCACTTCCACCATAATCCTTTCATATCGGATGCATACGTCCTTACACCCTCAAAGTTTCAGTATTTTATGGTAAGTGGTTTAGGTTATGGGTTGATCCGTCCGTCATTCAGGACAAAGCCTTTTATATGTACATATATATATGTAGTAGTGTAATATTGTAGTAGAAAACTAGATATTATATTTATCTGGATGCGTTTAGAGACCTAACTCGAACTTCCGAAAGTACAAGTAAGCCCGTTTTGGTCTTTGCAATCTGTGGAGGACCTAATGAAGAAGTTATCGCCGAAGCAATTTAAAAACAATAATTTAGCCGCGATATATCTGGTCAAGCGGATTTATTCGCGTCGAACGCCGAACGGTTCTATTTAACCATCAATCATTCAAAGTAGTATTACCCCACCATCCTTTTGAATCTCATCTCGACTCAGAGAGCCGTACAATTACCACAGATCTGGAATGAAAAAATTGTTTGAAGAAGTTGTGTCAACATTTATTCATCCCAATAAAGTGGAGGAAATAAGTGGTATGACAAATACGTACATATGTGAGTCCCAATATTTTGTTCAAGTGGTCAAATGTGGTGATATAAATTGCCTTAACTAGCTACTGATTTTTTTTGACATTATTCTACCGAGTGGATTTTTCCATCCCTCATGACCTCCCAAAAAAGTCTAAGTTTTGTAATATTTTGGACCCTTGCGGTTACTGAATTGCGCAAGAAGATGGAAGGAGGAGCTGTCATACTTACAGCCTATGCGGACGATATCTCAGTCGTAGTGGGTGGAAAATGCTCGGCAACCACGAATCTCTGGTTAATCAGGCACAGCAATCAAGGTAAATACTGACAAAACAAATATGGGGAGAGAGGACACTTGACAGCTAAAGCCTAGCTCTGAGTATCTGTGAATTGTGTTGGACAGCTAATTTGGGGTGGAGACTCAATGAAGAGGAGCAAGTGAAGAGAGAATAGCAGTATGGCTTAAATTTCAGGAATCTGTTTTCAGCTACAATAGAGGCAAATGGCTGTAGCAAAAGACTGAAATATGCTAGCAAAGCTCTTAATGTTTTCACAAACGTCTCCAACTAGAGATAAGGAAGCCGTATAAGCTACTAAACTATTGCAGTATCTTCCAAGCCGAAAAATTTGCTATAAAAATGGCAGGAAAGAAAAAAATACACAGCCAAGCGATCGTAAAGGCCTTAATTACATACAGCACGATGCCCGCTGTGGTCGCATTATGTCACCAACCGACTCAAGTACTGTCTGAAAACAGAATAGTGCACATTTACTGGGTGCAAGGTCATACAGGCATTGCAAGGCAATGAGATAGCTGACGAACTGGCTAAGTAGGGTGTCTAGTTAGAACAGAACGCAGTATCGAACCTTGCAGTTCGTTTCAAAGAAGTGAAGCAAAAGCAAGAAGAATTACTATTTCGCCAGGCGAGTAGACTCTGGGAACGAGCTAAGCGCTGAAGGATCGCGAAAAGCGTGTACTAAACATATAATACTATGCACACAAAGTTTGTACTATTTGTAAAAGAGGCCGGACTCTGGGCTGCTGAAAAGACTATTAAAAGTGTTTAATATAGGTCTGACTGGAGACAATAAATGCAATCAATGTGTGGAGATAGTGGAGCACGTAATCCGTGCATGTCCGGCATTAGGAAGACATAGGCTCAGAAGGGCTACAGGATATTCAATCGGTAATAGCCAAGGCGCCAGAACGACTTCTTAAGTTCGTAAGAAGAACAGGAATGTTCTTCACACTATAGAGGCTTTGTCCCAGCTGATACAATAGTAACATTCAGAAAGCGTCTTTAGATCGTTAGCATTCCGATCATTTTAATCGTAAAGTAACTCCCCCTGCGGGTTAGGGGCTCAAGAATTTACCCGCGGTAAGGCATGCCTGTCGTAAGAGGCGACTAAAATCCAATAGTTCTCGCGACAGTCGGGTCTTTATACCGGAACGACCCGGATTTTTATACGGCCAAGGACTGTCACTCCCGCAACATTCCCCAAAAAGTACTTTGGGGAATAATCTTGCGGTTACAACAACAACAACAACATCGTAAAGTAACTTAGTGGATCTGTTACTCTAAGTTTATTTATTTGATTATATCATACTTCAATAAATTATATTATAACCCGAATATGCTGCAGAAAATAAGTATAAAATATATCATTTAGGAAGGCCTTGTGAGCTGCACTGATGCTTTACGCCCGTGATTTCTCGTGTTAATAACATCTTTCGGCAAGAGATGATTCAATATCGGCACATGAGTAATGATATTCGCCACTCGATTCACCCAGCTCGGTATGCCTTGTCCACATAAAAACTCTGCTAATGCATTAGAAAAATGGTTGCAATTGAAATTGGTCAAATGATAGTATTGTCCTCGGTAGCATCGTCCCAATTGGCTAATCACCTCTTTCACCTGCGCCGGCGTGAGTTGCGTTGCACCCAAGAGTATGCTTCTGTTGAAGTAGCATGACTCATTTAGTTCGGCGTCGTTGCGTGGCGTCATTTCGAAAATACCCGATCGACTTGAGCTACGGCCAGTAAAACCGTATTCGACTCCATACACTTCGATGCCCGTGTGATAAACACCCAAGCCAACTGTTTTCGTAAAATCGTTGAGGCGCAGTAAATCGTAAACGTTGAGGAAGACGGGCTCCTCGTGCGGTTTTTGTGGCGTTGAACTGACTTTCTCTGAGTGTTTGTTTGGCGAGCGCGATCTGGTTTTGTGCATATCCTTCCTTGCAGACGATTGACGATGAAACGGGTCAACGGTGTCTTGTTGAGCAGTACTTTTGCATGATTAAACAATGTAGGTTTCTTCCCGGCTTAGCAATGAAAAGAGAAATTCTCGTCTGGTAAAAAATAATATTTGAATTAATAACGGAAAATTTCGAACAGTTTTAAGAAATATCAAACGAAATAAAAAATTTTTCTGTGAAGTGTACTTAGTTTTTCCAACACCGCTCTTTGATGAAAATTGAAAAATGTAGCCACCTATTTTAAAGTAGATAGTCGTGTATGATGGCTGCAGTAGCCGAGTCTTTAGCACTGCGTACTGCCACTGGGAAGGCCAGAGTTTGAGCCCTGCTCCGACCAACAACCAAGAATTAAAGAAAATTAATTTAATTAGAAAACTAAAAACGTTTTTTTTTCAATTATGGTCGCTCCTTGGTTGGGATATCAAGCCCTCCGAGTGTATATCTGACATGAAATAAAAATCTTCTCATAAAAAGCCATGATCAAGATGCAAAGAACTAATTGGTCTGTGTACCGTGATGATTGTTTACCACACGACAGTGTAAATGAGTGGTCTGGAGGATCATCATTGATATATTCGTAACGCTTCGGTCAACAATTCGGGATTGCACTGGTAATGTTAAATCGCAATTTTACTAAAATATTGCTAATAATTTCTTGATTAACGCCTGCTTGCTGAAACTATGTGAACTGTACCTTATTCAGTAGGAAGTCCAGACTCAAAAATTGTGCGCATTTATACCACAGCTGGGTCATTCAGCCTAATAATCGAAACATCCACACCCACGGCCTGAAAGAAAAACTTCTTTGCTGACATTGTATCGAAAGCTGCAGCGAAGCAATTTTTTACTTGACTCTCTGAGAGCTGAGACATCTTTCAAGAGCTGAATGGAGGAGGTATAATCTTCTTTAAGTTTGTACAGCTGCTGGTGATGACAATGACATTGTTGGTCTCAACAACGGTGCCGTAACTTCTTTCTTCTTTCTTCTTTCTTCTTTCTTCTTTCTTCTTTCTTCTTTCTTCTTTCTTCTTTCTTCTTTCTTCTTTCATCTTTCTTCTTTCTTTTTTCTTCTTTCTTCTTTCTTCTTTCTCCTTTCTTCTATCTTCTTTCTTCTTTCTTCCTACTTCTTTCATCTTTCTTCAAACTGAATAAGGAAGCGAAGCGTATGCGAGGGAAGACGAAATATCTCACGTGATCAAACAAACAGTCCTATCGAATACCGCAGACGATAAAATGATGAGCTGTATGAGATATACGGTGACCATCACAAAGTTCAGCGAACCAAGAGGCAACAGCAGCGATTGCTAGGTCATGTGGTCCAGAGGGCTAAGAAGAAGGGAGAGATAAGGAATACCTCTACTCTGTTAGAAATACCAGGCGGGTTGGAGCCAAACAGCGAAGAGAAGGAATGTCGCAATGTTGCTAACTCGGCTATAATCGCGTAAGCAGAGTGTCTACGCCAGTAAAGAAGAAGAAAAAATAAAAGTAATGGGGCATAGATATCTAATAGAAGTTATTTATTTTGGGTTCTTGTATACAAAAGTTACTTTTTTTCTAATTTTTCTGGACATGATTTTAATTACGAAAATTTTAAATAGCTTAATCGTTTCTTAAGAAAGTTTTTGTCTGTTTTCGGGTATAGTTAAAATTCACATTATTTACCGGGAACTAGATCTGAAAGTGTACACATAACGGTAGCTCTTTGCATAGATTAATTTTAAATGTAACACTATTTCATTCGGAAAGTGGACCTGGAACCGATCAATTCGGGAAAATTGGATTCATGGTTCGATTGACTTCAAATCATTTTCGTCCCAGGGAGTGGACCGAATACTGAACTCGTTGAAAAATAAATGTTTTTATGGGTCGATGGTTAAAAGGAACTAGGCCGACCGAATATATATATATGTATATAAGTAGAGGTCTTTTTTTGAATAGCTTTTTTTTACTTGTGAGTCGCGCCAAGCTGTCATTATATTTTCATTCAGTATTGTTTGGCATTTTATCACGAAAAATTCATGCCAGAACAACGTTTATAAACCGTTCAATTTAATTACGATAATTCACGTTCCGTAAGGCATGTGTTTTGCGCGCTTCGCTCAATTTATGGTCAACAGAACCGGCCTACTGAGCGTACTATTCGCAACACCATCTCCCATCCTGAGACCCAAATTCATTATTGGATAATATTCGACCGAATAGACCACCTCCAGCGCACAGTGAAAGAAAATATAGCAAACGTAGCTGAGAGTGTACCTGAAGGCCGTGGAGAGTCGATTCGGCGCCATTCGCAGCAACTCGGACTGACACATTTTAATTCGAAATTTTAAATTTAAAGCGTACAAAATACAGGTTGTGCAAGAACTGAATCCGCACGACCTTCTTAAGCGATATCGCTTCGCTCTACGCGCTTTTAAAAAATTCCAAGAAAATCCGACGTTTTCGTGCCAAATTTTGTTCAGCGCTGATACCTATTTCTGGTTCAATGGGTATGCAAATAAGCAAAATTACCGCATTTCGAACGAAAGCAACTGAAGAGATTCAAAAGCGGTAATTTCATTTAGAAAAATTTACGGTTCGGTGTGGTTCGTGGGCCGGTGGAAACATCGGTCCATATTTCTACAAAAATTATGCCGATGAGAATGGAACCGTCACTGGCGACTGTTATCGCGAACTGATTATTTGATGCCTGAAATTGAAGTTCGTGATCTTGGCAACATTTGGTTTCAACAAGACGGCGCCACTTCCCACACATCGCATCAATTATAGGATTTATTGAGAGAACACCTCGGTGAGCAGATAATTTCAAGTTTTTGATTGGCAACGCATATCGTGTTATACCACACCGTTAGACTTTTTCCTGCAGATAATCCCGCTTTGGTTCAGGCGCTGGTACAAAACATCATGCGTGTCATGCGTCAGTTACCAGTCGAAATGCTCGAACGAGTCATCGGAAATGGGACTCAAGGGATGGACCATCTAAGACGTAGCTGCGTACAACATTAAAAAGAAATAAACACCAAAAAATAAATGCCAAAGAATGTTCTTTCGAAGGATAATAAACATTCCCCATTAAATTTGAATTTCCTGTGTTTTTTCTTCTTCTTTAAAATAAAGTTGAAAACCTCGAAAGGGATAATTCTTTATAAGAGTATGAATTATGTATCCATTCCACCTCTTTTTGCTCCATTCAACTTCTGGTCGATCTTGCTAGTACATACATACATATGTATTAATAAAAACACATACTTTTTTATGAATCAATTTTATTTTCAATTATTTTATATTTATAGTTATATATAAATTTATTCATTCATTTATTTATTTTCATCCACCTTTAATGGCTGCTTTATTTTTACTTCTATGCAATCTTTTTTCATATTTGTGTTAAGTGTATTTACGCATAGCTTTTGTTGTTTTTTTTTTTGTTTCATATTGACGTTTAACAATAAGAATAACATTTACTTGTCAAAGTAAACTACCGTTACTTCCATAATATTATAAATATTTGCAAATTTAGACACTGTTTTGCTGCAATCAAGGCAAACAAAGTTATGTGTGTATATTATATATATATATATATATATATACCTTTATTTTAAAAGGCAAAATGCTTACAAATAACTTTTATTTGTTTTTAAACAAATTCTTTAAGACAGTGCGTTATAAAGTTAAAAGTTCAATTAATAATAATGAAATAAGTTTCACTTATTTCTGTTTATCTCTAAATATGTATTTAATGCATTTTAAATTATTCAACATATGTATTTACTACTTTCACACACATACATATTTATGCTTGCATGTGCCAATTCATCATTTATTTCGCCTGCATAACCACTTCTAATCATATTTTCTTCATTCTTCTTTGGTTTCTAATAGCAAAATTTATGCTTCCTTCGCTGCACCTCATAAATATTCATTCGTATTTACCGTAAGTCATTAATTCATTTTTATGTCTGTACGTATTTTGTTCGTTTTCGTTTGTGCTACAAGCATATGTACACATGTATTGTATATACATACATATACATTAAATTTGTGTACATATGTATAAATATAGAGAAATATTGTAATATTAAGCTGCCTTTGAATTTGAGCTCGACACTGCAAGCGGACTCTTTAACAGATATTTTTGGAGACCTCCTCGTATGTATGAAGCTCTTTCAAAGTGAATGAGGCATCGGTTGGGAAACTGTTTTTTAACAATTTTTATTTTTGAATTTTCCATAGATTTTTCGATTATCTCATGGGTTTGTTAATATCGATTTTCCTAAAAAAACCGGCCTTCCCTGGCAGAGAATGTCGACTCCTCCCAGTGTATTTCTGATATGAAATAAAGGGTGTTCTTTGAAGCTTGTGGCGGTAATTGAGTTATACTCAGTTTAGTTTGCCATTTCACAATGCACAGAATTACTCTAGAATAATGGTTCTCCTCGTACAACGCGTCGCGTATTTAGTCGAGGTAATCGCCCAGTAGAGTCGGTAGTTCGAGGAATGATGGATCGGTATCGACCACTTTTACTCTATTGGATAAAGCATATTCTCAGGGGCGCTGTACAGTGCACGTCCAGCTACAGTGTATCGAAGAAAACCCGCATGAGTCCTCCATCCTCCAACGCAACTATTGGCGCTATTCCCATAAACTTTATGGAAGATTTTGCGGAAAAATCTTGGTTTGCGGCCTTACAAAATCCAACTCGTGGACGTCTGTGAATGTACCCATTCCGGTTGTCACCAGAAAATTTTGTTCAGCGATGAAGATAATTTTTGATTGAATGCCTGCAGATTCATAAACAAACTTGTCGCATTTGGTCAATCAGTGCAAACATCCTTTAAAATCCCTGATCCACATTCATCAGCCGTTCAAAGGTGGCTTAGAATAATAGGCAGGTCCTCTCTTTTGTTGGAAAACCATCAAGACGCATATCACACAAATTGAGGGAAGGGGTCGACTTAAACACATACAGTAGAGCTTCTACCGAAGAAGATTCTGCAGCATTTCTGCATCAAGTAAGCACGGTTTCTGCCTGCTGAACATCGAATATTCACAGATTACCACTACCGCCACCACCACCAAACCTCCTTTAGACCTAAATTGAAGGCATACCATGCCAAACAGCCGTGCCTCGTTCCCAACTCTGCTCTTATAGTCTCTCTCTCGCTTTC